CTGTGCGCACGCCTCACACCGGAAGAGGGTGTGCAAAGCACTATCAGCCTCTCCCGGGCGATCCGAACAGTGGTCGCACGTCGGCGCGGCTGCTTTACGAATACGGTGTAAGTACTCGTTAAAGCAGCCGTGGCCGGACATCACTTGGGTGAGACGATAAGTCATCTCACCGTGAGTCCGGTCCACCCACCTGTCCAGCCGATCGGGTCCTATGAGGGACCTGGTCCACTCGCCTCTCGTTTCCTCCGAGAGGCGAGTCCGCCACCGGAACATGGTCATCCGCCTGAGCGCCAGCCGGTCCTCGGGTTCGAGGGACCGGTTGCGCTCCCGGCGGAGCTCATGCCCGGCGGCGCGTTCCTCGGCGGGCGGCAATGACGACAGGATACCCGCCGCCACTCCGGACACCGTTCGGTAAGCCGAAACTGTCCGGATCGCCGCCCGCCTTTGCACCCTGAGCAGGGCTTCACGGTTTTTGGACGAATACTCAAGAGTATCCGCCCAAACCGGGGACCCGTACAGGAGAACCGAGTGTACGACGCTGACTAAAAGTCTACGCCGCATCTCTCTCGGCCCTCCCAGATTGGGCATGAGTCCCGCCAAGCAATTCATGACTTTCTGGGCCCGCTGGGCCGCACGAGTAATGTGCGGCCCGAACTTTAGACGTTTGTCTATGACACGGCCCAGATAAGTCATGGAGTCCTTAAGCGGAATCTCCACCCCCAGTACGGCGAGCCATGGAGGAGTGAACTTGTACCTGACCGCTTCGGTCTTGTCCAGGGCGAGGCTAAGTCCACTCCCCTCCTGCTAGATCCAGGCGGTGACTGCGCTGAGCGCGCAGTTTGCCCGGGATCCAGCCTCCTCGGCCGAGGCGCCTTCCGCTACCACCAGCGTGTCGTCCGCGTAGCAGACGACGCGCACGCCCGGCGGTAGCGGAACGCGGAACACCGCGTCGTACGCGATGTTCCACAGCAGAGGCCCGAGAACCGACCCTTGCGGGACGCCTCCCGTAACAGGTAGGATTCTCGGGCCTCGATGTAAAGCTGAGAAGGTATTAATTTTACCATGATGTGTTTTTTTTTTTGTCTGTTGCCACTTTTTCTCAGCACTCACTGGACCCATTTTGATGAATAATATGTCAAAAGATTTCTAATTGTATCTAGTTGAAGACATTACTCTTAAAAATTGAAAAAATTTCTCTCATTCCCCGTAAATAAGGGAAATCTCCAAAAAATTACAATTTTTAAAATCGGTAAATTTTGTTTTTTTTTTTCATAAAACTTTTTTCAAAAATTAACAAATTAAAATAATTTATTTTTATATTGAAACTTTAGATATTTTTTTTCATTTGATATCATTTTTTTGAAAATCTGATTCTAAACCTGCCCACAGGAGAGATTCAAAAAAGCAATTTTTGCACACAAGTTAAGCTTTTTCAATTTAATTTTTAAAAATTTTGCAGAAATATTGATACTTTTATTTAATTTTAAATTAAAGCTTATGTAATATACTTTACTATGAAAAAAAATAAAATTCAAAATATATATTTTCTTCATGGTGAAAAAGGCTACCGTATTTAAAAATATGCTATTTTTGTATTTAAATTCTGGGTTTTGCATTTTAAAATATCTAAAGTTTATGATAGTTTTAAGAAAAAAATGAAGAAATTTACCGATTTTAAAAATTGTAATTATTCTTAGAAATTTTTCAATTTTTGAGAGTAATGTCTTCGACTAGATACGATTTGTGATCTTTTGACGTATCAATGAAAAAAATCGGTTCGGTGAGTGTTGAGAAAAAGTGACAACAGACACAAAAAAACACATCATAGTAAAACCAATTCCTTCTCACCTTCGCATCGAAGCTAATAAAATAATGAAGTATTAAATAGTAATTAATAAAAATTACCAAGGTATAGAAACCATGACATTAATAGGGCTAACCCCCCCTATATACACCAATAGAATGTTCTCTGAAAAATAAATGTGTAACAAAATCTCATAACACAAATTCTAGTTTTGATAGTAGAAATAGCGATTATTCAATTTAAAATTAATTTTTAGTTTGTATACATTACAAAGTTCAACAATTCTCTTCTATTTTTATATTATTATATATAATTTGACAAATTTTTATACCTATGACTAGCAGTCATATTTAAAATCGCATCCCCACCACCAGTATTCACGAGCCACCACTGGTTAATATATGATATTTATTCAAATGGTCAACATTTTAAAACTGTTAAAAAAAAAAAATTGCAGAAGAACTTAAATTATGAAATGAAAAGAATTTTGTAATACGACCATGCTAATATAAGTACTTGTTGCACGGTGGACCGTGACGTAATTATTATTATTTGTTCGTTTTTGGATTATTCAAATCAATTAATTCTTTAATATAGACTTAAAAAACCATATAATTAATCTATGACAACACATGGAACTATAAGTCTTATTATATTAAGGGTTATAAAGAGATAGCAATAAAAATTTAAGGCGATTTAAACATTTGTTCTATTAATAAAGCCTACCACAGTTATATTTTTAGTTTGTTGATTACTTTATAAATAATATTACTATATTTTATATTTTTATATGTAGAGACCTACCTAAATTGGTTACTCTTAATATTTTTTTCTCAACTTGTTTCTGTTCTAGTATATTAAAATTTTTTTAAAATGACCATTTTGCATTTATTTTCATAAGAAATTAAAATTTTGATTCTGACTTTGTGATGTTTTGTATAATATTTCTTTCTAGTTGATTTTTAATGAAATGATAGAAATTATAGGTTGGTTCTAATTTATTCCTTTATTGAGATAAATTTTACTAAGTATATTTACTTATTACGATCAATATAATTTTAGCCTTTGAGGGGAAACCATTCGGTGTAGCTGGGGAACGCTAATTTTTTAGAAATTATAGTCCCCCCCTTCTAGTTATCCACTGTTTGGAAGTGTATTTAACTGATTGATATTTTTCTTATTGATATCTATCAGTGTAAATAGTGTTCAGTAAGTAAGGAAAAGGGTTTCTATTGTTCTCATTGTTTATAACAATTGACCTGTTTCCTTACTGAACGCTATCAATTCTTCCAAAATATTTTCTTAACTAATATTTATCTCAGAAATATTAGTTTTTAAAATACTGTTCTCCGGAATATTTTGCGAAGTAATACAGTTTTAAAAATGACCATTCCTATCAAATATTGTTTCATGATAAATCATTCCTTAAAAAAGTATTTCCCGATTCGTATAATCCTCCAAAATATTTTTATTATACAATACTTACAAATTTTTATATTGACGTTACTTTTCAAGTAAAGACATAAGTATTTAGGTATAATCATAGATAATAAAAGATGGATGTGCGTTGATTTCTTATCGTACATTTACGAAAAACTACCCTGGGTACAGACAAGATTTAAGATAATTATCTATTTTAGATGGCTCATGATTTACATGTGTCGTGATTATATTATATTCGTGATAGTAACTTATTCTAGCTTTAGTTTATTTCTGTGAACTTCTTATCTATATTATTTTATCTTCTGAAAGTGTTAAATGCAGTAATAAACTTTATTATGAAGGAATAATGTCAAAAATAATATTAATTAAGTTTTATTAAATGGTTTCATATTAAATATTAAATGGTTTGTACAATGATAAAAAACTATTTTTATCTTATTCTTTACAATAAAATTTACTATTCAGTTCTTAAAATGTATTGATATATTTTTTCATAGAATTCTTTTGAAATCAACTAAATTATCAGCATTTTAGAAGTATGAATTTCTTTTATATAATAAATAAATCTACTCGAATGTTTTCTTCTTATCCACAAGTAAATGTTTATAATTGGAAAACAAAAACTAAATTACCACTCAAAAATAGTAAAATTTTGACATGGTATATGTGTGGTCCAACTGTTTATGATTCTATGCATATAGGTCATGCATGGTTCGTTAATGTATTTTTCTTTTGTGTGTGATTTAATTTTAATATGTTTATAGTTGTTATGTAAAATTTGATATTATTCGAAGAATATTAGAACATTATTTTCAAAAAAATATTGTACAAGTAATGAATGTCACAGATATTGATGATAAAATAATAAGCAAAGCACAAGTTTTAGGACAAGATCCCATCCAGATATCAAGGTTATTACTTTTTTTTAATTGTTAATAGAACAACCAAAAAACAATCTTACAGCTGAAACCTAGTATAAATGAAATTTATATGTTTTAAAATTTGATATTGATTAAAATAACTATCATATAAAGTGTGTTAAGATGTTTTTATAAATATTTTCTATAGTAAATAAATACTCAAAGATAAATAATGTTGAAACAATTTTTATTTTGTTTAACATTGAGTATGATATATAAATTTTAATTTAATATAGATTTTTATGAATACGATTTTTCAAGAACATTTCAAAAAATGAAAAGAAAATATTTTTAATGTTTTGCTGTTCAAACAGAGGGGGATAAACAAGAGGAAGCATTTTTGTACAGGTCCAAATTGGTTAGGAGAGCTATTATAAAATTGTTGGTGGGTTCATTCAACTAGATTGATCATAATTGTTAATTATATATATATAAGGCGATCATAATAATAATTTTTTCTAATTATTAGTTTGAAAATTTATGATAAATCATTTTATTATATAAAAGAATTAGGATGATAAAAATTATATTATGTCCCTTCAAAATGTTTATGCCTATGTTTTTTTTGTAAATTTACTGATACTTGCATTTACTTAACAAGGTAATCTAATAAAATCTTATCAACTTTAAATTAAATTAAATTTATTTAAAAAATAATAGATTAAATATTTTAATAAACTCAATTTTAAAGAATTAAATAAAATGATTAAGTTTCTCAACTTTTTCAAAAGCTCAAAAAGTTTATTTATCAATTTTTTAAACAAGTTTATAAGTACAATGAATACAAAAAAACCCAATCAATCCTTAGGAAAAATCTAGGTTAGCCTTTTGGCCTAAATCTAACCTTATTGCTCTACTTAGGTTAATAAATATAAAATAGTTAAGATAAAAATTATGAGAATTTTAATAAAAAAATTTATTTTATTCATCAGTGGTGTGTCCAGAAAAAGGGTGCAATGGACACACGTCCTTCTCCTTAAGCTAATATTGCCAAATAAAATTAAAGAAAAAAGGTCTTTTAAATGATAAAATTGACATCTAAAAAAATGAACCCCTTTAAAAAAATTCTGTATTCACTGTTATATATATAAATTTATTTTTATAAGAATTTGGTTTTGATCCATTCATACTTAAAAAATCAACCAATAAAAACTTGAAACTGAAAATAAAAGATCTGAGATTTCCAATTTTTAAAATAATAAAATGTTGGGGATTATGAAAAAATAGAGTTATTTTTAGGATAATATCTTTAAATAGATACAATGTGAAATTTTTCACTTAAACATAATATGTAAGCATAGAAAAGTGATTACAGGATCACAATTAAAAAAAAAACACTCTATTGTAAAATAAATATCTTCTTAAATTTACATTGAAAATTAAAGCTAAAAATTAGAATGATGGTTTGTATATTTTAGAAAGTATGAAAAAGAATTTCTGGAAGATATGCTTTTATTAAATATTAAGCATCCAAATATTGTCGCTAGAGTAACTGATTTTATTCCAGAGATTAAATGTTTTATTAAAAATCTTATGGATAAAAATTTGTCTTATTGTGCATCTGATGGTGAGTTATCATGATTTATTATATAACTGAATAATTGATTTTTCTTATTTAGGTACAATATTTTTTGATACTATTAAATATAAAAAGTATGGAAAATTTTTAAAAACTCCTGATAAAGTGCCACATATCTTGAAAAAGGTGAATTCAGATTTTGCATTATGGAAAGCTGCAAAATTAGGAGAACCTTCTTGGGATTCTTATTGGGGCCGAGGAAGACCAGGATGGCATATAGAGTGTTCTGTAATTGCTAGGTATAACTATATGAAAAGAAAAAATGAATATAATGGACTAAAATATAAGATTGGTAGGCTTCTTTTAGCTTGATCATATTATTTTTAAACATTTTTCTGAATGTTCTATATATATTAATTACAGATAATTAAAATTTTTTTATAATACAGTTAAAAAAAATATATTTTAATAGTTTGAATAGTATTAATAAGTAGAAATATTAAAAATAAACTATTTTTATATATTAAATATACAAAAAAAATTATGTGCATTTTTGGTTCTATAATATAAATACTAATACTGAATTTTATTCCAGTTATTATTTTGGATCGAATGTAGATATACATTCAGGTGGAATTGATTTGTTATTCCCCCATCATGAAAACGAAGAAGCTCAATGCTGTGCTTTTCATAATGTAGATAATTGGGTAAATCATTGGATTTATACAGGTTGGTTAAAATAATATTATTCAATAAATATTTTTATTATTAGTTAATAGACTTTAGACTTTGTAATATTGTGTATCCAAGAGCTTTATATGGACTTAATTTTAAGTATGCTCAGTATTTATTATTCTATTATAAATATAATGTATTATAATTTGTATAATCAATAATTAAAATATTTACTTAAAAATGATATTAAATATTATCAACCAAATTTTAATAATTTTTTTTTTAAAGTGTAAATATTTATTTGTTATATTAATTAAAAAATTTTGTTAATTATTTAGGACATTTACACTTAGGAAATAATATAAAAATGTCAAAATCACTCAAAAATACAATTGGAATTAAAGAATTGTTAAAATCTTACACAGCTAATGAATTTAGAGTACTATGTCTGCTATCTAATTATAAAAATGGTGATTAAATATTTTATTGCCATCATTACACTTAACGATTACTTTATAAAAAACGAGTGTTTAATACAAGCTACATGTATATTAAACTAGATAGATTGCTCTCACTAATAAAAAATATGTATAAGAAAATATATGATTTTTATGTGGGTTGGTGGTAATCAATAAATAAGGAAAAGGGTTTTATTGCTCTATTCATAACAATTTTATCAAAATAAAAACTTATGTAATATTGTATTAACTACCCGTTTTCTTACTTTTTGAAATCTATATATTGCATTTTAAAGAATATAGTTAATACATTGTCATACTTAAAAAATAAATTTTGACTTAAACCAAGAGATTAATTTTTCTAGCTTAATATTAATATCTATAGTATGAAAATTTTATTTAAAATATTAGATGTTGAGTTCAGTGAAAAATCTATGGAAGTTGCTACTAATGTTCTAAAAAAATTGAAGTCTTTCATTTTTAATTGTTCTAATCATATTAAAACCAAACAAGTGGTTCAAATCGAAGACACAAATTTACTATATGTAAGTTATATTATTGCTATATTTATATTTTGATATAAATAACTATTGTTTACATTACTATTTATCATGGGTGTAACTAGAAATTTGAGTCTACAAGGACTTCAGGCCACACCATTTTTTAAGACCTATTTAATGTTTTATAAAGTCCTAGGTATGCAAAAAATATGATGTAATTTTTTTTTTGTAACTCAGGTGCCCGTCTTAATTTACTAAGCACTTAAAGCATATATTTTTTTCTTTGTGTACACATAGAATATAGACAACAATTGTTTCACATTACCACAAATTCAATTAATAAATTTTGTATTGAATATTTTTACATGTTTGGGCTCTTTTTACTATTTAAGGTATGTTTGACATATTAATGAATTTAAATAATTTTTATAGATTTCTTTTTTATCAAAATAATATTTTATTAAGACATGTATAAATCAATTATTGTCTATATGTAATTCTTTTTTAAAGCTTTAAGTTCTCTACATTATTAATTTCCTTTCATTATTTCAATAAAATTAAATAATCATAACTCTGATTCTAATTTTTTATTTAAATCTTTATAATCTAATGAGTAACATTAAATATAAAACCCATATTTATTGTCGCATTCTTGAAATCAGGTTTATCATAAAACACTTTTTGAAATAAATTTGTAGTTAGAAAAAGTCTATTTATTTTTTATTTTGTTACGAAAGATATCTTAAATATATTTTAAAAATAGTGTAAAATTAAGTATTCATTTATAAAATTTATCAAGGTTTTTAACCATGATGTCAAAGGGAGTTTATTTTAAGTTTAATGGGTCTATGGTCCTCCAAGTATCCATCTAGTTACATCAATGTTATTTATACTTATAATTAAATATTTCAGATGATAACAGATACTGAAAATAAAATAATTATTTATTTGGCTGATAATTTTGATACTTCAAAAGTTTTACAATCACTTATTAATTTAGTTAGTAAATTCAACAAATTATTAAATAAGGTATTATAAATTATCTATTATTATATTATAATTTACATCCAATTATTTACATATTAATATATTACTAAATATCAATTAAATGTAAAATGGATTAATTATACAACAATATTAACTTATAATTTTAATCAAATTAAAATGTATTTTTATCACTCTCCATACAATACATTCTCATAGACCTGTATTTTTTATCATATATTTTTTCATATGGCGTACTAGTTTTATCAAAAACCATATAATTTTTTGATTGACGTTTTCACCAAGATTGTTTTCATTGTGGATAAATTTAATTATTCATTTTTCAGGCTATGTGTGTTTATTATTATTTTAGTATTTGTGTTACAAATGTATATATAAAGTATGATTATTTGTAACCGTTTTAAAGACTCGTAATTATTATTATTAAATCGCGTATGCGCCCAGAGTTAAGGTAAGATTGTTAGTTCTACAGTCAATGATAATAGTTGCCAATATTAAATGTGTGAGTTGGCTAGTCTTTAGGCTTAGCAGTCCTTTAGTTAAAAGAGCGAGTGGTTGTGTTGGTGACTAATAAGGGTTCAGTCCCCTAATCAGTTATTTTTGAGCCAAACTGTACTGATGTGTCTGTAAGTTACCCCTTTAGTGGCTCACTAACTTGAGGGATTGGACTAACCATTGTATTTCAGCAGGGGGATTCTGAAGGAGCCAAAGATACATGTATAATGTTAAAGGGTACAGTCAATTTATGAAGTTAAAATACTTAATTATTTTAAACTCAACTAAGTTAATTAGATTATTTTAGTTTTGTTTTGTTTTTAATTTTTATATTTTTCATTCAGGATTTTACTTTTAATTGCTCAATTTCTGAGATAGTTTTAGCTTCAAACTTAGTATCCAATACATTACATAACTTTGGAATTAATTTATCTGAATTGAAGGTACTTATAATATACTTAATTATATAATTTTTAATTAATATTCTCTATGCTTTATACTAGTTTTTAGTTTTGTGTAATTTTTAATGAATTTTTTATAGAATCAAACTAGTTTAAACTCAGATTTAATTATCGATTGTGTTGTTAATTTTCGGGGTAAACTTAGGCAATTAGCATTAAAATCAAATTCCAAAATAAGTAATCAAGAGATTTTACAGTTGTGTGATGAATTGAGAAATGAACTTTCCTTCAATAACATAACAATTCAAGTAATAAAATGACTTTTTTTAATTTAAAATGTTATATTAATACAGTTATAATTAAAGGATTCTAGTAATTTATCAGTATGGAAATATACCGGAACATCTCCAGAAAAGTAACTATTAGTTGAAATAAAAAACTTACAATAAAGAAACTTCAGTTCAAGAATATGTATTTTAGCTATATTAATATACTAATTTTTATTTTTCAATAAAAAGTTTATATTCAAGTGTAAAGTTTGCAGGTTTTTCTTTTTCTTGGAAAGAATCTATCAGTTGTAAAATATATAGAGGAAAAAAACTATTAGCTATAAAATTGTTTATTTTGTTTTTTTCTATTAGATATACATAATAATTTGTATTAAAAAAAAAAAATTGTTCCAAAATATTAAAACAGAAAAATGAGATCATATGTGTATAAAATATCAAAAACAAAATGTTAGTTTAAAAATTATAAAGTTCCGTGTTGATTAGATTCTAATAAATAATTTTGCAAACACTACTAAATATGTTCAAGGCATTTTGTATAATATTTGAGAGAAAAAAAACTTTAGTATATCTTACTAAATATAAAATTAATTAAAAGAGGTTGGGTTTATATTTATCAATTTTTGCAACTATTGTGACTTTTCTTTTAATAATTTATAAACTTTTGCTGTCATTCGATAATTAAATAAAGTCTTACACAGAGTTACATAGTTTAAAAGCATTACAAATGATAAGTAAAATATATGATGCCATTGAAAACTTATAACTAGTGTTGTTATTAGGAACACCATAAATAATACTTGAATACACGCTAATGTAAAAAATACTGTTTCTGAAGGATTGCTAAACATTGCCTAAAAATAATTAAATAATTATAGTAAGAATACAAAAACTTAAAAGGATAAATAATATAATTAAGTCTATTTACATAAAACATTTTATCAGCATTGTTCCCAGGTTCTGCAACATTAGAAACTCCTTCGGCTTTGTATAAACATTGATTATGGCGTACTAATGATCCTTGTTGCCATAGTACTTCTTCTGACCACCTGATATTCATTATAACAAATAACTTTTAAATTGATATTATTTAATTTTAATATTACATTAGAGACATTTATTACAATAATTAACATTTATTTTAATAAATATAATAAAAGCCAAACTTAGTCTTACTAAATAGGGTTGAATATCATACAATTTTGCTGTAAATAAGATCAGATCTATTATAAGAGCAAAATTTCTGGATAAATTTGAATGTATTGAATTTTTTATGGATTGTCGTATTACTTGAAATATTTATGGATGGAACCATATTTTATTATAGTTATGAGTTGACGTTTTGGACTCTTACTCAAAACATTAGCTCGTAAATGAAAATGTGGATACATTTCAAACAAAAATATAAATAATTTTGAATTTTTTTTTAGTCATATATTCTTAAATTATTAGCTATGTAATACTTTTCAAACTCATCCCTTATGCCTTGTAAGGGGTTCAACTTCATTTTTTCAAATGGATTCATATAGTTTGAATTTTTTTAATTAATAAAAATGTTTTAGTTTTAATTAGCTTAATTCGTCTATCAGTTAATTAGCCTGAAGTGTCAAAGCTTATATTATTAAACAAAATATACATACAAATGAATAGGCATGTGTGGTCTGTCAAGTTTAACTCTTTTCCATCGACCTAAGTGTATAGCTGCTTTATGCAAGTTATCAAAATATCTAAATAGAAAAATTAAAAATAAATCACTTAAAAATATAATTTTTTATAAAATTAAAATAAAACAAAAAATTTGAATCATAAACTATTTATTTCCTTACAAAATAAAAATAATATTTTTATTTACATTAGAAGTTTTTATTTTTGTTGTTAAGTTGAGAGAGTATTAATTTCAACATAATGGGTTAAATTTGAACTTTATTTTTCATAACCTAATGATGAATAAAACGATAAGACAAAATTATATTTTTAGGACGTTATCTTTCTATTGACCTATTAAATAGATCTATTGATCCATTTTTAAATATTTATCTAATTATAACAGTAGTCTAATATAATAACAAACTTATATTAGAAATTTTTAGTTTATTTTAAATATTGATCTAATACAAATTTGTATTTAATCATTGTTTTTATTTTAAATTATTAATTTTAACTCAGATGCGAAGCTGAGAAGGTATTAATTTAACTATAAGTGGTTTTTTTTTCATGTTAACACTTTTTCTCAGCCCTCACTGAACCAATTTCTTTCAACGATACGTCAAAAGAACACAAATCGTATCTAGTTGTAGACATTATTCTTAACAGTTGAAAAAATTTCCCTCGTTCCCCGTAAATGGAGAAAATCTCCAAAAAAATTATAATTTTAAAATATGTATAAAAAGTATAATTTTCCAATTATAATTTTAAAAATCTTCCGAAAATATTTCATGTTTCAAACATATGTTAATATGTTAATATATGCTTACATAATATATTAGAATTTATAAAAAAAAAAAAACCAAGCACAGGGGGGTCGCGTCACAGTGGTGACGTGGCATAGTTGGATCAAGTATAATGATATCTGACAGTGATTAAAATCACTATTATAAAATAAGCTTCGATGCAAATCTTTAAATAGTGTTTAATTTAAAAAAATTGGTGGATTATTCCAAAAGCTACGTGATCTGCTATTTCCTTATTTATATCCTGATTAAGATAAGGTAGGTCGAATGAAAAAGGGATATAAATATTATATCTCATAAAAACATTGTGTCAGATTTATTAAAAAATATACCAAATGATAGGTAAAGACATCATGCATCTATAAAAAATATATATATATTGATTTGGTCATTTTTAAAAAAGTTATGTCAGTTTTCAGTAAAAAAAAATTTTAATTTTAGCAATTTTTAAATTTGTAATTTTTTTGTAGGTTTTATGGGGAATGAGTGAAATTTTTTCAATTTTTGAGGGTAATGTTTTCGACTAGTTACGATTTGTGATCTTTTGACGTATCGTTGAAAGAAACTAGTTTGGTATGAGCTTAGAAAAAGTGGTAACAGACACATAAAAAAAAACACATCTTAGTAAAACCAATACCTTCTCAGCTTCGCATCGAAATTAAAAAAAAAATTAGTCCAGACACCTTATCTTCTATTTTTAAACAGCCCCCAAAGTTAGAGCAAAAATATTATTGTGCTGTAAAAAATTACTTTTATTTGTATTATAATTTCAATTTTTTGTCTTAATTATTTATATAAATATTTTTGGTCAAGTGGTAAAGTTACATAAGTGGATGGGATGGGGAAGTAGGTTACTCATAAATCTCCTTTTTCAAAAAAATGATCCAGTAATTTAAAAATGGATTAAACAATTACTTATTTTCTTAATATGATTATTACATTAAAAGAAATCGAGGTGCTAATATTAAAAGAATCGCTCTGAATACATTAACTTTATAAATATGTATATATTCAAATATTAAACTTATATATTAATAAAAATACCTATACCTATGTATAGGTTTTTGTTTTATATTAAACTATAAAAGTTGTTTTTGGAATATTTCATCATTTTTTCTAAAAATTAAATTCTATCTACAGATTTGCATTGAAACCTTTTTTATGATATTGATTTTAATCACTATCAGATATCATCTCTACTTGATCCAACTGTGCTGTGATTATTTGTGTTGGTTTTTTATAATAAGATTTTATTTGTTTTTGTTTATCAGCTAAAATTTTATGTATCCTACATAGTTATAAATGTTAAACAAATAATATTTGTCGAGGATTCTTGTTACTGATTATGGATATGGTACTGAGTGTAAGATCAGAGAAATGTATCAATAAAAAAATATATTTGATTAAAATAAAATTTTATTCTATTATTTATTTTGAATATTGTTTTTAAACTATATAACTTTAGAGGTGCTTTCTGACATGGAAACCTGAATGCAGCAGTGTGACTGGTAATGAAAAAATAGACTTTTTAGCAAGGAAAGGTGCACAAAAGACCTATGTTGAACCAGAACCAGTGATGGGACTTAAGGTTGTTAATCAAGACTACATGTCAACTACTGAAGAGGGATCTTAATAAAATGACTAGATATCAAATAAACACTTTAACTGGACAACTGATAAGACACGGTCATCTGCTTAAACATTTTTAAAACACAATGGGAGTGACAGAATTATCACTTTAGGAAGTGAGGAACAGATTAGGAAAATTCATTTCACATTATGTGTGAATGTGATACTTTGGCCACATTAAGATGTAACCATTTGAGAAAATCTTTTCCAGAAAATGACGATATCAAAAACCTAAAATCCAGAGAGATACTAAACTTCACTAGAGAAACAGGATCCTTGAATATATATAGGTGCGGCTTAGTAGGACGTCCTATATATAGTCTTAGGTGTTCAACAATAGCAACAACACTTTGGTAGAAACACTTATGTGAAGAAACCGAATTAAAATAATTTGGTAAAAGGTATGCACAATGAACCTATAGATCTGGGTGTTTGGACAGTTTTTGTTCACCTCTATAATAATTAAAAATAAAAATAAAAACTAAAGGTATTTTCGCTATAGTTATAACTTCTAACTATAAGAGTTTTATTGTTGTACCAGTAAATCTACCAAAAAAACTAATTAGTACAGTTAAAAAAAAAACCAAACATTTTTTGGTTATTATGTTACTCTAATCCTATACCAATGATATAGAAGGGATATTAAAAATGAAAAGTTACTGGAACAGCATTTTTGAACTTGAGTGCAGCAATTAATATCATGAAACACCAACTGCTTCTAAAGAAACTATATGACATAACAAAAGATAATGATTTAGATACTTAAAACAATATAAAAAGACTGTTGATTCTGTTACCCTTAAGGTAATAACTTAGGAAAAATGTAGCGGCTGAATAAAACAAAAATGAAAAATGGTATCAGATATATCTTATGCATGGAATAAGTAACTAAAATACAAATTCACTTTTCAACTTTTTTTTATTATAATTAAATTTTAAATACTTTTATTACAATTTAAACTTTAGATTAGTGATTTCTTATTGCATAAAATAATGGAAAAATCTTTTTTAGAATTTTAAAGAGAGGGATATTGAAAATATAATTTATATGAAAAAAAGCCTTGTCACCAAACTATCTTAGTACAATTCCAATGTTATATCTGTATAACTTCTTTAAGATTATTAAAATTTGAATATTTTTGTAATTTTCTTATATTAAATTTTAGTTTTAACATTTTTCTTTAATGTAAATCTTTGGAATGGCTATCATAAAAATTCCAAAAATATTAATTTTTAATATGTATATAAAATTGTAAAGTTAAAAATGTATACTTTAGAATGCTTTTTAAGTGTTTAAAAATTAGTAATAATAAAAAAAGTAAAAAATATTATGTAGATCAAAAGTTATTATAGTTGTCCATTAGATGTTCTACACTATATATGAAAAAATTACTGATGGATAACAATTTCTTTTCAGAATTTATGAATATTTATGTCTTAGAGTAGAAATTTAGCTAAAAAATACTTATGGTATAAATAACTATAAAACGATTCTCACTTCTAGTCTATATTAGAATTAATAACAATTTGCAAAATTCTAGTTCAAAAATTGTTGTTGAACAGTTATTTTATTTATTAAATTTTTACTAAAAATACCAACGTTGACTATTTTATAACAATTGTAAACGCTATTCTTGTGGTAGTGAGTATGGTAAAATATACATAGTTCTGTACAATAAATCTCTAATACCTATCAACAACACAAGACATATTAACAAATATACCAAGTACGTTCCTACACTACATCATTTATTGAAAAATATGTTTTGATTTATAGATATAATTTAAAAACCACTTACTTAACTGGATAGTAATGAATGCATAACATCATACCCATTGTTATCATTACAAATGTAAAATGCATTAATACCCATTGTTCTTCATAAATTACATATGTCTAATAACATAAAATATTTAATGTATAATTCATGGAATTTTAAGAAGCTTTAAAAAACAAAAACTATAATACTTACTTGTACAAATACTAATGGTAGAAAACAAGAATAATAAGCAGAAAAGAAGGATGAAAATAATATTTGTGTCATCCTGCTATTAAAATCTTCCCTCATATGTTCCACCTCAGAACGAATAGTTTTTGGGTTTGATGAACACAAATGGATATGAGTATATTGAACTGTAAGTTTCCAAAATCTTAATTTGCTTTTTAATATATAAGAATAATATTAATAATCTAGGATCGAGATACCATTTATGTATTACATAATACAAAATTACATGGAATAAGCTTTAATTTTTTAATTGGTATAACTATAATTAAAGATAAATTTTATTATACAAAGTTAACATTTTTATAGGTTTGTATTGATGAACATTATTTTTGAAAATGATAACATCTTGATGAAAAAAATCTTGATTAAAATATTTTATATAAATGTTAAGTGGTTTTATACAAAACCACTCAATCAAAAAATAAAAATAATATTAATAATTTTTTCACTGTTTTTTTTTTTTTGTTCAAAGTTTCTCTCAATTTGTCAATAATTAAGTTGTTTATGTTTATCCCATATATCTTATGGGTTATATTAAAAGTATCAACTTTAATTTTTCAAATGACAATACACTAACTTATTTAATAGAGTATGAACTAATTAAAAAAAGACTGGTTGATAATAACTTTTGGACCAGTATTTCAAAAGTTATTGACATAATTATATCTGTGAGAGGAAGAGTATGGCTAGGAAAAGTCTAGTTATAAAAACACTACTCACTCTTCACCTCTAGTCATACTTTAAATTGTCAATAACTTCCAAAATACTTGTCTCAAAGTTATTATCGACCAGTAATTTTCTTAATTAGATCATTATCTATTAATTAAGCTAGTTAATATTATGGGCGTGGTGTGGTGCGGTGGTCACACTAGTTGTTGACAAAACTCTATTGTTAAACCGCGCCTACCGCCATAGGTAAATGGATGGGTGCGCTTCTACGGTGGGGAAAAAGCATCATGTTTCCAGTGCAGAAGGCAACGGGAAACCACTGCACTTAATTTTCCAGGATATAAAAACTAAGACAAGGCTTAGCCTTTAGAAGAGAAGAGTAGAGAAGTTAATATTATGTGTTGTCACTTAAAAAATTTAAGTTGACACCCTAGTTCATCCCTTATAAGGTATAAAGGATGAACATGAAAAACTTTATGATTGGAAAATTGAGAGAAACATTGAACTAATAGAAACAAGTAAGAAAATTATTAATATTATTTTTATTTTTTGATTAAATAGTTCATGTTAAGTGAATCACTCTGTATATATGTATATATGTAAACACTTGCCCTGCAAATATTTCATATTTATAAATGTTACATTGAATTTTTATATAATCAATTATTTGTTTCTAAAATTAACTATAAAAATAATTTTTAGTAGTCTCATTTCTGATATGAACTTACTATAGGGTTTTCCATTGATGAAAATTTCTTTTTCACTCACACACATCATATCAAAAATAGGACAAGCTTTGAATCCGTAATAACACAAATAACCTATAACTCTATTAAAATTAATTGAATTAAATCATTTTAATACAATATTGTGAAGTAAATTTGTTTTTTTTTTAAATATTCAGAAAATAAAATAATATTATTCTTATTCTAAAGAGTGTGTTTAAGTAATAATATTATTGACTATAGTTCTATTTTTCACAAATAAATTAATTTAATGTAACTTAATAATTACTTACGGCATAAATAAATAAATAATTATCACATAATCATATTTTAAATAAAGATCAAAAGCCAGTAGAGCTAATATGATAGATAATGTAACAGTTACAAAAAGTCTGTAACAAATAAATAAATATAGATTAAATAGATAACATAGAACTATATCATTAAAGACAATAGGGGAAGAGAGTAAGTTAGTACTTTATCCTGTTTAACATTTTGATATTCAAATGAATTTTTTGATTATCCTCTACATAATTATTTTCAAAATAAAAATAATATTCATAATTATATTTTGTTAATATTTCTCAATTTATATATCAGAGTATAATTTAATCTATGTTTTTGGAATTCCAAGGGTATTAATAAAAAAATTGTAAAATTATTACTAGTGCTTAAAGTAGGGAAAAGAAAATAAGAGAGTAAGAATAAAAAAAAAAAAAAGAAAGTCATCAAAAGATCGTTAAATCTTATATTTTGCTCATCACATTGTAAAGGATAACTAAAATGTAAAAAAAAGACTTTTTTTAATAATAATAACAGAGTTATCAGATTATACAAATTATGGACCAGTATTGTCTAAAATAATTAACCATTTAAAATAAATACTGAGGTAATGTGTGTTTTATAATATTTTTATTATTAGGCATTTTCAGCTGTACTTTTCCTACCCATAGGTAAAAAATATTAAAATTTTTCTGATTTTGTTGATAAATAAGTTTTTAATAAAATAATCATCCTGATGAAAAAAACAGTGTACCTTATAATAAGTCTAATGAATTTCCAATAGTTTTGTGGGCATAAAATGTGAAAAACCCAAGTAATCAAGCAATAAACAAATCTTCTACAATGCATAACTAGTATAAAAATGACAACTTGGTAATCAATTAAATGTATTTTCTGAAAAAATAAATATTTTGAATACATACACTAAAAATTATCTAAATTAATATAATTTAAAAAAAAGATTATAATTTTAAATAACAATATGTTGATTAATGAAATAAGATGAAACTATTTTCTATGACATTTGAACACAGTCTAAAAATATTTTTTTGTTATATTTACTAAAACTAAATAGTTAGTATCATTAGTAAAATACTAACTAAAATATGCAAAAAAAAAAATTTAATTTGTGTTCATATTGCTGTTGATAAACTATATAATGTTTTTCCTAATATTCATTTTTTTTTCTGTATTTTCAATCATTTTTGAGTATATGACATAAAGAAATATTTTATGTATATTCATAAATTTTGTTAAGTAACCTTATATACTTTGAAACAAATAATTAATACAAGGATGAAAGTGAAATAGTCACTTATGAACAAATATTAAACAAAATATAGTATTTGAAAGGCACTACTTGGTTATACTATTCTAAATTTATTAATATAAAATGTTAATATTTAATAATTATACCCATAATGTGTAGTTAGAATTTGGTAACCACCATACTGATCTATAAATATTTAAATATTGCAAATATGTAGAAAACCAGGCAAAAATCATCATTAATCCTTCAAATGTTATGTTTCCTTCATTGTACATACGAGGAGATGTTACTCTAGGTAAAGTATCATCACATTTCATCTATTAAAATAAAGAATTATAATAAATATAATAATAACTTACACATGTTGTATTTATTATAATTATTATTGTTATTAATAATTATTATTATAGTTTTTTCAATTTTTATTAAAGAAACCATTTATATTATATATATATATATATATATACATAAATTTTTTCTGTGTAATTTCACTAGTTAATGAACAGTTAAGAATTTTTCATCTTTTACAGTTCTTCTATTATTTATATTTTCATATCACACAGCCTTTATGCTACAAATATTGATATAATGACAACATAAACTATTGTTGGTGTTGTCTAGTTTTTTAAATTGATCTGATTTTTTGTATACCGTTTGGAGTTATCTGTGATCTGTCTCGAAACCATGACAGTAATACATCAGGTATTATTGAATTACTGACTCGCTATACTGAATTTCAAATATATGTTTAGTAAAAATAAAAATTTACTTAACTAGGGATAGTTTCCACAAATCTGAAGTTAAATGTTTTTTTATTAACTAGTAGTTTTATTTAACTTTTAATTATAATAATTTTACAATTTATTTAAATATACTTTAATCTAATAACTAAAAATAATTTTGACTTGACAACTTACTTTTTTTAAACAATCTGTAAAAAAATTGAAAAAGTCCATATTGTGTTAATTTTTTTAATTTTCTCTGGTAAAAATATTACAAAATAATACATCCATAATCATGAAAAATTACTTAAAGTTTTTGAAGCAGTTTTGTAATTTTTCTTAAGTTAACATTTCTATTCATAAATATAATTATAGATTTATGGACGATTGATTTGTTATTTAAATACATTAAAATACATAAAAAATTTCAATTTAATGACTGCATTATGGATTAATACTTGTTATCACTAACTTCTTAAAATACACTATAAATTACTTCATAAATAAACTGATAATAAATGATAATAGTAATTTTTTTACAATGTAGAAACATGGTAACGCTTTTCATTCATAATATTGAATCTGACTTGGCTATGCTATCTAATAATAATAATAATATATGTTATGAACAGAATATTCCTAACTTCATTATGTGTAGTTAATCATATTTGTTGATAAAAGATAACAGAAATTTAAATTGATATTATACTTAAACATGTTACAATAAAATTTTTCAACAATTTTTCAGAACACCTCTTTTGTGAGTTAAATTTTCTATTTCAAAAGAATGGAAAATTCAACATTTTAAACTTATTATTCAATAGATATCTATTAAAAAGTTGTTGTATTAAAGAAAATAATAATTTCATTGTATAATTTTTGATCCAATCATATCTGACTAATGTTTATTTTGGTCATTCATTATGCATATTTTAAAAAATGTGTGTATGAAACACTCAAGACATTATTACACACTTTTGAAACTTGATAGGTATATTTATTACTTATTAGTTCAAAAAATAGTTGATTATTGTATTAACTTTAAAGGTAACTGTACCTTCTGTTTATGTTGAGTTCATAAATAAGTCACTTTTATCTTTATAAACAAGTAAAAAGTAAATCACATTTTTGTTGTTACTATAATTTTAAATAATTAATGATAGAGATGAGGGATTAAGATAGTGTGTCTCTTAACACAAAATGTGTCCTTTAAAAATCAATGATTATGTCTTAAATTAAAAATGTGTGTAACAAGTCTTATAATATGTATTTTAATTTTAGACATAATTATTCTAAAATTTCAGACATGGAAAGCTTAACTTTTTATTATATAAAAATAGTTTATGTTTAGATTTAGGCAGACAAATTTCACCTCAATATTCATTCAAAAAAGGTTAAAAAAAGATGACAGTTTGTCTACTCTATTTGTTCCTGTGCCAGTCAAACCAAATCCAGATGACATTAATGTTGGAGCTGAGTTAACTGGCAAATTAAATAAAGGCGATTTATTAAAAATACTTAATCAATTTTATCAAAAGACTGAAATTAAACAACTTGCTATGGAAAATGGATTAGATAGTAGTAGCTCGTCATCTTTAATAATTGATTTATTCAATAACTAATATGATTTTTAGATTACCTTCAGCATCAAGCTTATATTAGTTTCAGAAGATTCTGTCTTGAAGCTAATACTTTACCTGTTGATCTGCATGTTGTTATTAGTGATATTTTACAAGGTGCAGGACATGTTGATGACATATTTCCATACTTTTTAAGGCATGCTAAACAAATGTTTCCACATCTTGAATGTATGGATGATTTGAAAAAAATTAGTGACTTAAGATCTCCTGCTAACTGGTTAGTCTTTACTCTTTGTATGAATGTCATAATACTATTTTTTATATTAAACATTATTTAAGTTAAAAAATCTATGAGTACATAAAAATTCCCAAAAATTATAATTTTTAAAATTAATTAATTTTTAAAATTAATTAATTTTTGTCATATTTTAAACTATTTTTACTAAAAACTGTCATATTTTTAAAAATTGATAGTTTAAAACAAATATATTTTATAAATACCTTAGGTATTTCCTTTTCTTTTGGTATACTCTTAGAAAATCTGACCCTTAACCAACCCATTGAGGAAGATTCAAAATGTCTAACTTTTCAACTTAATTTTTGAAAAATTTTCTGAAATACCCCAACTTACAAATATATATCAAATTGAAGCTAATGTTAATTTTTTTAATTTTGTTTTATGAATACATTTTTCTTCCAGTATACTTTTTTTTTTAAATATTACATTTTTTTCTCTTATAACTGGGTTCAAAACTGTAAATATTTATAAAAAGTAGACATTTTTCAACTTTTGATAATGTTCTGAATATACTCTGAGCTTCAAATATATATAAAATAAAAATTTATGTTACATTCTAAAAGTAAAAAAAAAACCATCACAGCATAGTTGAGACAAGTATAGATGCTATCTGATAGTGATTATAATCACTATAATGAGATTAATTAGCTCTGATTTCCTTCATTATTCCTAATTTAAATATGTCCTAATATATCATTCCAAAAGCAACATAAGTTCATTATATGAATAAATACTTATTAATTTATACTTTTAATTGTAGTAATTAATCTTAGTATGAAATTGATATTCAGTAAATTAATATAGTAAATTTTATGGAGAGATTATAAAAATTATAAATCAGTTGTATATTTTGTTACTTCTATGGCAAACATCTATAAAAATTGAAGTTCTTGATGCAAAATTTTTCAGAAAATAATTTGGTTTAAACTAGAAAAGAAATTTTTATCAGTATCAAATACATAATTTTTCTAGACCAATTTTTGCGGTGTTTTAAAATCTGCAATTATATTTATTCTATCATCTCTAATTTTTGAAATAATTACTAATCAGTAAAAAAAACAAATATCTACAAATAAAAAAATAATAATAATAAAAAAATTCAACACTTCAGTGGACAAAATCATAGGTGAAACTATTTTTGAATGTTAGTGTTATAGAATAGAACTATAAAGATTATAGTTTTAAATATTTAAATTTTAGCATCCATTTAAAAACATTGAGTTTCATAGAATTTAATACTTTTTATTGAAATAATTAATTTTGATATTAATAAAAAAAGTTACAATAAAATTAAGTAAAAATAACAATTTATTAAACTGTGATTTTTACAACACAATAATATTTTGTCTAACTTCGGATGCCATTTACATACAGAATACAAGTCATTATTATAAATTTTTTTTCTTTAACTTCTAGTTTGTAACATTAACTTTAATTTATCATACAACTATAGCTTAGAGTATTTTTGAAATACTTTCAAAAATTAAGTTGAAAAAGTTCTATATTCGTATGTTGTGTAAAAAGTTTGTATGTTTCAAGTTTTGAACACTCTGTATAAAAAAAAATTATCTGCTTGCAAAAAAAAGTATTTTGAATAAAAGGGGTACATATTAAGTGTTTACAAAAAAAAAAAATTAAGTTGATCAATATATGTTTTAAAAAGTAGTAATTTAAAATTAAAAATATAAAATGGAAAATATTAACAACAAAATAGCATATTTTTAACTACAGCACCCATTTGCACATAGAAAATAAGTCGTGGCGACTAATTTTTTTTTTGAACTTAGAGTACATAACATAAGCTTTTATTTAACATAGTTGAAAATATTTAATTTTTGTGCAAAAGTTTCTATTTTGATTTTTCTATGGACAGATAAAAGGTCTGATTTTTAAAAGATTTAAACCAAATGTAAGGAAAATATCTAAGATAATTATATAAAAAAAATTATTTTGTTTCATTAATTTTTAAAAATGCTATGGCAGTTAAAAAAAAAAAAGTTTAAAAAAGTAAACATTTACTGATTTAAAAAATTAACATTTTTTTGTAAATTTCGACCAATTATAGGAAAGGAGAAAATTTTTTTTTTAAATTTTCTAAGACAATGTCTTCAACTGGATGAAAAAAAACATGATACAAAATTACCTTTCCAGCTTTGCATCGAAACTAAAAAAATTGTGGTATATTTTATAGGTGTGTAACCCATTTCCCCCTTTTTAGAAAAAAATGTATTTAACACATTGACGGACATGACTGCTATAGCAGTCACGTTCTTGGCTGTAATTACAGATTCACTTTAATATCTCATTAATAATTGTCTGGAATAAAAAATGCGTCAGAGCTTTTTTCTTTATAAATATGATACAAAAACAATGAAAACAAAAAAAAGTGTAACTGCTATAGTAGTTGTAGTCTACTCGTGACTTTTTTCTACTCGTATAACCATATGACTGCTATAGCTATATCACTGTTATAGCAGTTATAGTCAAATTATAACTTAAAACACAATGACTGCTATAGCAGTGGCTGTCCATTAATGTGTTAAGTGTTATAAAAATTTTGTAGCATTCAAACCAATAAGTATATTAAACAAAAGGGACTTTCCAAAACAAAAATTTTCTAGTTAAACTTTACATTTTTTATAATTCCTTCGTGAATTTTACAATATAAAATACTGATCATTATTTTAATACTAAATATAATTTCTGTAATATGTATTTATTCATATAATACATTATTATATAATAAAACTAGTAATCAGCATATAATTAAGAAATTGAAAATGATGTTGCTTTTGATATAATCCAAGAAATCCTTCTAAAAATTAAACACTATCTACAGATATGCATTGAAGCATTTTTTTGTGATATTGTTTTTCGTCACTACTAGATATCATATATATTTGTCTCAACTATGTACTATCTCCATTGTGCTGGGTTTTCAATTTAAATATTGCATTCTTAAAAATGATCAGTACTCTATTATAAATTTAAAAATTATTAAATATCTGAAACTAGTTAATAATTAATTTATCAAACAATATGAGAAGATAAATTAAAAACTTATAAAAAATTACAAAATTATTTTTTTTTTACTTTTTATTATAAGAAAAAAAATAAACGTTGTAACATAAAATTTCCTTTTGTTTTTAGTATAATTGTATTCTTCTCTGTGCAGTATTAAAAAAGTAATCAACAGATTTTTTTAAATTGTAAAATTTTTTTACAATTTACAATTTATAATTACTTAATTATGTTTTTGCTTCGATGCGAAGCTGAGAAGGTATTAATTTTACTATGATGTGTTTTTATAAATTTGTATTATTACTTTGGGTATAAAATCAGTGCATAATAATATTTTTTAAGGTATCCAGAAGCAAGAGCAATTAATCGTAAAATTATATTTCATGCTGGCCCAACTAACAGTGGTAAAACATATCATGCATTAGAAAAGTATCTTACTTCTAATTCAGGTGTGTATTGTGGTCCGCTAAAACTATTAGCTACTGAAGTTTACCGTAAATCTAATGAAAGGGTATACAATTTTTAAGAAATTAAATATAGCTACTTGGATTGATAATAAAGTTTAAATTATTTCTAGGGCACTCCCTGTGATTTGGTGACAGGGGAAGAAAGAAAATTTGCCGATGGAAAAAGTGAAACTTCTCAACATATTTCTTGCACTGTTGAAATGGCAAATGTAAACGTACCTTGTAAGTTTTTTTTATTTTAAAATTATTAATGCATTTTATTTAAAAGTTCATTATTGTGTTAGATGATGTAGCAGTTATTGATGAAATACAGATGATGAAAGATCCAAGTCGTGGATGGGCATGGACTAGAGCACTATTAGGTATTGTTGCTAATGAAATTCATCTTTGTGGGGAAGAGGGAGCTGTAGATTTAGTTAAGGGTTTGATGACGACAACTGGAGAAGATGTTCAAGTATGTTTTAAAAATTTTCTTTTTTATAAGTAAGTTTTTGTTATGAGTATAAAATAATTTTAATCATTTATTCATTAGGTTTACAGGTATAAACGCCTTACCAATTTAAATATTGAAGATTCTGCAGTTTGCAGCCTAGAAAATGTTATGCCTGGTGATTGTATTGTATGTTTCAGCAAAAATGATGTTTACACAGTAATTAAAATACTATAATATGTTAAATTTTTTTATTAATTTTTTAAATATTAACTTAAAAAAATATATATTTTAGGTGAGCCGTGGTATTGAATCAAGAGGCATTGAAGTTGCAGTTATTTATGGAGGTTTACCTCCTAACACAAAGTTAGCACAAGCTCAAAAGTTTAATGATCCAAATAATTCTTGTAATGTCCTTGTTGCTACTGATGCTATTGGAATGGGATTAAACCTGTTAGTATTACTATTCATTAAATTTAATTAAATCTTTTACCTAATTTAATAAATATTATTAATAGGAATTTTATTACTTAACCGAATAATTGTTGATTTATAGAAGTATTAGAAGAGTAGTTTTTTATTCATTAATCAAACCAACATTGAATGATAAAGGAGAAAAAGAAATGGATACTATATCTGTGTCACAAGCATTACAAATTGCTGGACGTGCTGGTCGTTATGGAACACAATATGAAAATGTAAACAGCCTAGTTTTATATTTATGAAATATGTATATTTAAAAAAAAAAAATTTGGTTTAGGGTTATGTAACTACATATAGATCTCAAGATTTATCCACTTTAAAGCATATACTTTCACAATCCCCAGAACAAATTTTGAAAGCAGGACTTCATCCTACTGCTGATCAAATTGAATTATATGCTTACCATTTACCAAATTCAACTTTAGCTAACCTCGTTGTATGTATAAATATTAAAATATTGTATGTAGTCCATATATTTTATTGGTATTTTGGTGTAAATGTTATAAAGTTTAATTCAATTTAAAATAAAATATAATATTGTCATATATAACATAAGTATTTACCTGTTTATGTGTAATTGTTTAATTTACAAATATCTAATAACTTGTTTATATATTTTCCTTATTAGGATATATTTATATCATTATCAACAGTTGATGATTCTTTGTATTTCATGTGTAATATTGAAGATTTCAAATTTCTTGCTGATATGATACAACATGTCCCTTTACCTTTAAGAGCACGATATGTTTTTTGCTGTGCACCTATAAATAGAAAGATGCCTTTTGTTTGCACTATGTTTCTCAAAGTAATTATTTTCATATAACGGAAAAAATTTAATATAATTTAAAAAAATGAAATGGTTATATTTTTTTATAGTATGCCAGACAGTATAGTAGAAATGAATCCATTACTTTTGACTGGTTATGCAAACATATTGGATGGCCATTCACAATTCCCAAGACTATCATTGATCTTGTTCATTTAGAAGCTGTCTTTGATGTTTTAGATTTATATTTATGGTTTAGGTTTGTATTTATTAAAAACTAAATTATTATTACTCACTTATTTTAATATATATTATTTGTTATTTAAAAGTTAATAACCCCTCATATTTACTTATTTTACTTTAGCTATAGATTTACAGATTTATTTCCAGAAGCTAATCTTGTAAGAGATATGCAAACAGAATTAGATGATATTATTGAACAAGGAGTAGTGCAAATTACAAGACTGTTAAAGAATTCTGAGAGTTCTAGCTCCGTAAGTGATTCAATAGAAGAAGATTTCAATGTAGCCAGACACAAGCATAATTTTTTAAGAGGTTAATCAATAAATTAAGTATAAATGAACTAGTTTTTAGATTTTTTTTTTTTTTTGCATTATTTCAAAAATTAGAATCAGCTCAAAGAAATATTAATAAGAATATAGTCAGTAAAGGCAGACTTACAGAAAGGCTTCTTGCCCAAGGATTACTAACTCCTAACATGTTAAATGAACTACAAAAAGAATGGGACAAAGTAATTTTGAATTTTATTATTTTATTGTTCTTAAATTTTATTAATATTTAAATTTTTAGCGTAAAGATAAAGATATTAAACAGACTAAAAATGAAAATGACGATGGTAGTGATGATGATCCTCCTCCACAAACAAATCAGTCAACAAAAAGATCAAGGAGAAGAAAAAAATATTAAGTTTCTTTTGTTATGTTTTTATAATAAATAACTTTTCAAATTTTAATTAAATCTTATAAAAATGCAAAATATTTAGTTTTTTGTATTGTTTAATTAGTTTTCTTTTAGAGAGTTATGATCTAATCAGTTCAATAATAATTTATGTAAATTTTTTTTACAAAACTTATGTAGTTAATGTAAACATTTCTATCAATTACCTAAATATCTAATTTAATAGCAAAAAAAAAATGATTTAAATGTTTTGATAATTTTTAGATCTTTAAATTAATAAAAACGATAGAAATAAATCAATCTTATGTCAAAAGTCGTAATAAAGGTGATAGGTGTTGGGTTGAATTTTGTTTTATGATATTAACACTAATAAAGTTTAATTATTTCATTGCGTTTAAAAGACACATTTACTCGGGTTTGGATCCAAATTGTTTTAATGGTAATTATATTCTAATAATAGTAATAATAAATATTATCATGATACCATATAATACACAAAAATAACAGAAGTTATTTTCCTGTTATAAATTAACAGAAAATGTTCTATATTTAAAAATACTTATTAATGTATCTGATATTATATAAGTATTTTTTATTACATTTAATATTTAATATTTATTATTAATTTCTTAATTAAAAGTATAATTTGACCATTATGATAGACTAAAATATATTCAAAAAAATATCGTGAGCAGTCTACTGTTGCGTATCTTTTGTAGGGTTTGTTAATAATTTAAAATTATTTAATTCGAGACAAGGTGAGGTGGAAAGTTTTAAATATATATGTAGGATCATTCGTACGAAATAACGGTAATATTGACGAGGATGTTAGACATAGAATTAAGTATAGATGGATCGAGTGGAGATAAGTGACTGGTGTTTTCTGCTATAGAAGTATCCCAATGAGATTAAACGGTAACTAATATAACTGTAACGAGATTATGTTGTATAGGTCAGTGTTGAGTGGTTATTAAGAAAATGGAGTAAAAAATGAGTATAGTAAAGTTGAGAATGCTTATATGGATGAGGAGTGATTAGAGAAGATAGAAAAAGGAGTGAATATGTAAGAGAAAGCATTGATCATGAATAAGATGAGACAAAATAGGCTAGTTGTCATATTATGAGAAATCAAGAGTTATAAGAACTGTTATAGAAGTGAATGTTGAAGGAATGACACGACTTACGTCGCAATAATGTAGTCGACACTGGTTTTAAGTGTAGAGAACCGTTTATTAATAAACATCAACATGTTATTAAAATTAAAAAAAACTGAAAAGACGAACACAGTTAATAATAATCTTCGCATAATATCGCGGCACTTTCGCTGGCGTCGGCAACGCGGTGTCGGACATGTTCTTCGGCGTCAAAAAGTTAGCAGCGTTGATGGTGACGGTGTGCGGGTGCATATCGGTTCGTCGAGTCCGAAGCCGGTGGCGTACATCCTCAACGTTATCACTTTGACAACGGGTAGAAGACTCAACGTATCATTTGCGGCGGGTCGTCGTCGGCCGTGCGGCCTTGCTGGACTTTGCACCGTGGCGTATGGCACGCGATGTTTGTCAGTCAAATACTCATAGTAGGGCGACGGCTGGTAAAGGTGGCACGACTCGCGGGGCTGTGTCAGAAAGAAGAGGTAAAGCGAAAAAAGAGATGGTTGGGTGATATGAGAGGACTCCTAGAGTGTGTATAGATGATGTGGGATATCGTGTTAAATGGAGGTTGACGATACGGGTGGCCGACTTCAAGTAGTTACAAGTAGGAACACCGTTCAACTTGCGTGTGAATACTAAGCACAGACGTGGTTTTCTATCCGTCACAGCTAGCGAATAAATCTCTTCGTGTGTATCACACTTTAGTTTTTTTTATACAATTTCATTATGCCAATTCGTTATGAGTTCATAGAAACAATAATATTATTTAATAATAAGAATTGATCACTTGTGGCTAATTAATTAAATAAAATTAAAACTATATTAAAAATATTATTAATTTTGAAAAACTAAAAAAAATTAAACTTAAAAGCCACAAAAAAATTACTAAAAAGTTACGGATACGTATTTCGGAAACAATGGTTACCATTATCAACGCTAAAGACATAATATTATTGTTAATTATGTGAATGCATTAAAATCGTTCGAATTTGTAAAAAATATGATTGTCGTTTACATTTACGTTCTATTTGAAAAATTAATCGTGTTGTGTGACGTTCATCAAATATGAACGACGTTATTTCCAAACACTGTAATAACCATAATTAATAAATAATAGTTATTATAAATATATTAATTCGACAAACAATTTCCTCATATAATCCTCAGATAATCTTTGACAATATCAAAATTATTGACATTATCATAATATTAATATTTAGTGATGGGCATTTTCGAATATTTTAAACTATCGATTAACTATTTGAATTGTGTTTATACAACCGAATAGTTTTAAAAACTATTCGAATAGACTATTAAATAGTTTTTGAGTGACTATCCATAGTTACTATTTGATATTTCCCATCACTAATTATTATATTATTCAATTACTTTTAACGTATTGTGTGATAACGATTATTATGAAGTGATAACGTCATTGACAACACAATAAAATCAGCAATTCGACGAAGTTTAATTGAGTTTCGTTTTCGTTTCTAATTATTATTTTTTTTTGTTTTAATTTTTTTTTAAATTATTTTATAAAGTGTATTTGTGAATTTTATTCTTAAAAAATAATTTGAATTTTGTTTATCGTTATTTTTGTAAGTATTATAACAAGTAGTTAATATATAACTTATAAAACGTTTTTCTTATTAACAGATAAACCAAAATAATATTGTATGAAATATATTAGAAAGTAATTTTATTTATTGTTGTTTTATTTATCAACGTGCAATTTTTAAATATAGTATTGCAACAAAAATAAGCCAACAGTTAAATTAACAAAAATATGACCTTTAAAAATTTCAAGACATGGTTCATTAAAGCTATTGTTCTATAGTTCAACATTCTTTAAAGTTATTTTTCTGAAGCAATGTAATAAAAGTAGAGGTTAACTATTCTTCTGGAATCTTTCCTATGAAATATATATTGTATTGAATAAATAAACTAACATAACTAAACCATCATCATCAAGTATTTTAAACATTCCAAGAGGACTTCATCAAGACCTGCTGCTTTCCTTAGCTTAACACTATTCAATATATTTGATACTTCTTCTTTCATTATATAAAATCCCTTATCCAAACTAATACTATCTTGTTCTAGCTTATTCTATAAAAATATTCTTGTTCATATTCTATTCATCTTCTAATCATTCTTTTCATATCTGTTATTATACTATTATCGTTTATAATTATGATTCCCCCTTTATTTCTCCTAATAGTGCCACATATTTTACATTGTGTTTTACGGAATCTTTTTTTAATTAAGATATAATCAATCTGATTTCTAATATTGTTATTATTATGACTGTCAGCCGGAGCTTTCCAAGTATATAAGCGTCTCTTGGGTTATTTGAATCTTGTGTGTTGGTCACAATCATTTCTTTATTTTGACAAAACTCAATGAATCCATCACCACTTTAATTCCTGTCACCACTCCTATGCATCGATCAACTACAATGTTCCAGACCTTTGCATTAAGTCTCCCAAATTCATAGTGATGTCATATCTTTTGTAGTCATTGTATGAGTATTAATATCTACATAAAAAATTTCTATTTCTTCGTCTAACTTATCTTGTTAGAGCATAAACTATAATCAGATTAATAATCTCTTACAAGCAATATTAAGCATCTTAATCCTCTCTAATATGGGTATAAATATAGTCACAAATTTTTCCACTTCATTATCTACTATGATGGCAACTCCATACCGATATTCTGATTCATTGCTACTTGAGTAATATATTTAGTGTTTGTCATTTTTTGTTATAAAATTACCCTACTCTTACTACTTTGTATTACTTACTCCATTTCTTTCAAGATATTCTTCAATTTCTCATCTTCAACTAAACTTCTTACTTTTCAAGTTACAATTTTCAATGATGAGCTGGAGATAATTAGCACCCACTGATCATTTAAAGTCTATCGGTGACTGAGAGCCATTGTTATAGTTTCCTCTGTCATGAAAACATTATTAAGTTTTGCTTAGTCCGTTGCTGGACAGACCAATTACTGAACTGATCTTTCGCTTAGCAAATGAAACAGTGACTTAATTTCGAACTCGAGACAGTGCGCATGAAGCACTGCTGCGTTATCGACTCGGTACACCGTACCTCTTTGAGTTTTAGTTTTTAGCTTCGATGTGAAGCTGATAAAGTATTAATTTTACTATGATGTGTTTTTTTTTTATTTTTTGTGACAGTTACCACTTTTTCGAAGCCCATACCAAACCGGTTTATTTTAACGATATGTCAAAATATCACAAATCGTAACTATTCGAAGACATTACCCTCAAAAATTGAAAAAATTTCACTCATTCCCCGTAAATAAGCGGAATCTCCAAAAAATTACAAATTCAAAAATCGCTAATTTTTGACATTTTTAAACATTTATTTTATTAGAATTGTCATAACTTTTTCAAAAATAACCAAATCAATATATATAAATTTTTTATAGGTGCATGATATCTCTACCTATCATTTAATATATTTTTTTTATAAATCTGACCCTTTACCTGCCCACAGAGGGAATTCAAATGACAACTTTTCACAAAAAATTAACTTTTGAAAGTGCTCCGGAAATACTGACATTTTTATATATACCTTAAATTAAAGCTTATGTAATTTACTTTATTATGGAAAAAAAATGTTTGGACTTAATCATGTAGCTTTTGGAATAATCCACCAATTTTTTTAAATTAAACACTACAGATTTGCATCGAACCGTTTTTTATGATAGTGATTTTAATCACTGTCAGATATCATTATACTTGACCCAACTATGTCACGTCCCCACTGTTCCGCGACCTTACTGTGCTGGTTTTTTTTTCTAACACAGGTTCTGATTTTTTCTGATAGTTTTATAATTTATTTATGTTTAACGTCATTCTAAAGGTTATTGCTTGTGTCAGAGAGAACAGGAAAACCTACGTAGGCTAGCATAATGGAATCAAACCCTGGTACTTACAGAACGAGATACGGCTAAGCTAGGTAGACTTCCTACTTATATTTTTCTAAAATATTGAGGGGCTACGGCAATATTTAAGGATTTTAATCACCTTACATATACGCTTATATCATTGAATCAAAGGACGATTCACTAACCGTGAACCAATCAATTAATAAACAAAAAAAAACCTAAACAGTTGGGACCCAGCAAATTAATTTTTAATATAGGTTGAAATTTGAAATTTGTCAGGTAATTACATCACTATCAAGTTCAAGAACTTTAATATATAGGATTCGTATGTACCGCGGATGGATTGCACATACTCCATATACGAGCTATTTCCACTCAAACGATGTTATTAAATGATTATAACTAAATAAGTACTAATCCTAACGTTGCTATCGGCCCATTAAAAATTATTTTAAGAAAAACCTGAAAAAAAAACTATTTTAAAATTAAATTTTATTTTTATTATTAAAAAATATATATATATATATATATATATATATATATATATAAAATTTAACGTAGTCTAAGAATATTTAAATTATTTAAAAAAAAATGTAGCGAAATTATATCACAAGTTATAAGAGTTGTCAGTCCACTATGTTTAATGCATATATTGCATGTTCAACTAACTTTTCATTCTTCTTTTTTTTTTTTTACAGGTTGTATAATTTTTATCCTATAGTTAAATATTACTCAAAAAAGTAAAGCAAAATTAATCTACCTATTTAATATTATTATTTTTTGTCGAAGCTGAAACTGTTTGAAAGTGTAATACATTTAATAATTAATTTACCTTAATTTATTTAATATTGAAAACTAAAATCCAAAATGAGTGAAAATTCAGAAAATAAGGATACAAAATCTTCGGGCTTAAAACCACCTACAAAAATCCCTACAATGGGAGTGTCAAGGATACCTAGCTCATCTTCCATAAAACTTGGTGAGTCAGATTTATTCATGATATTATTACCCGAAAATTATACAAGTTTAAAAAATTAGATCTCGTCATCCTTTTAATGGTATTCTTTCATCTATTTATATCATTTATTTCTCTATCAAGTTTAATTTTAGATTGCAATTTATAACCAAGCGACTATTTTTAAGGCATGGATATATCTAGATAAACATAATAGATTTTTATAGGAATTTTTCTTATTTTGTTGACATAAATGGCTTTAATGAAATGTATTTTAAGATTTAGATACTTAGTTCATATAATTTATCCTGAATTATAGAAGGGGGCCACTCCTGAAACACCTTCGCAGAAAAATAATATTAGTAGGCGTTTTTCTCCGCACCTTTATTGATGACAAGGTTACGGTCAGAATCGTTTAGTTTTTGTAAATACTTCAACAGCTAAGTTTAGTGTTCATATTATCAATTGTCAGTTGACATGCCTAACCCAATATTCGAAGATATTTTACCGAAAAAGTTGGATTTGTATTGTCGTGCAGATGGTAGGACAAATTTCTTTTAACAAATCATAAATTTATTTAAATATTGACTGTTAATCTATAATAAATTTATTTAGCTATATACAAGCAATATAACAGTTTTTTTTTATACGGAGTTGTGATAATACAGGTTTTATTTTACACATTATTCATCTTTAAATTTTATAAATAATATAATACAATAACTTAAAATGTTTATTCATATAGTAAATATGAAAAATTCAAAAAAAAAATTTTTTTAATCAAATATTCCAAAAATGTATGACTTTCATTATATGTTTAAATATAATTTAAACTGTCATCAAGTATTAATTTAAGATTATATTTTATCTGAAAGTTGAAAATAGGAATATTTATTTAGAAACAGGTAGTAACAGTTAAAACTCTTTTCTCCATAAATAACAGTTCGTGTAACAATTACACTGAATAAATCTTCCGGTAAAATCAACAAATACATTATCAAAAACTTTTTGTTTATTTAATCTTAAATTTGATAGAAGAATAAAATATTGATCAAATAACTAAAATTTTGTTGAATCATCAGAAAATAATGTTTCCATTATAAAAATATACTATTTATTTAACAAAATTATTATAAGACTATATTATAAAAAAGTTTGTTGATTTTACTAAGGAATTTTATTGGTAATAGTTATAAAGAATTTTTTTTCGAAAAAAAACTATGTACATTTATTATACAAAAAAACCGAACTATAGTAAATGGAAGAAAATTTTTTTAGAAATATGTATTTTTTAAAGATCATAATAATTGTATTTCTTTTGTTTATATCAAACTTTTTAAATTGCTCAGGGAGCACAAAAAGATTTGTGATATTAAACTCTGAATATTAGGTAAATGTAATATTCAATTTTTTAATGGATCACATTAAATTTATAAAAAAATATTCTTTATTTAAAAATATAAAAACACGAATTTTGAAAAATAAATGGTGATAGTTATTGTATTGAATCCTTTAATTTTTTTTTATTACAAAATATTTCTTAAAAAATAATGTTGAATATTTACTAATAGTTAAAAATTGGATTTGGAAATTAAAATATTTTGAATTAGTTTTTAATTTATTTATTATTGATTTATATTTTTTATTATTAAACTTAATGTAAAAAATTATTTTAGATTTGTTATTATATTTGTTTAAAAAAATACGTATTTAATTTTTATAGATGGTAATTTAAAAAAAAATGTTTGATTCTGTTTATTATTATTTATTTCTTAATTTATAAGTGGATAAATATATATTAGGTCTATATTTTTTTAGTGTTTACATGAAATAATTAAATATATATTATGTCATTTAAAAAAATATAGTTGATGCTCTTAGAGATAAGGAATGAATTGAAAAATATTTAATCGCTTATAAATTGAAAAATAAACAAAAATAATGAAAATAATTGTTTTAGGAGAAATTTAGTGTCGACGATAAATGAATCACCCTATATTATATTATATAATTATTATGTAAATAAATTTTAAATTGATATTATATATAAAATGAATTATGATATCCTATCTTATAAATACAAAAATAATACTTAAAATTTCATTTATACATTTTTGAGTAAGTTTTAATACAAAATTTAAATGATGTCTATATCTTTGATGTTCGTTAAATTATGTATTAATCTTGTTTGTTTCTAATACGTATCCGGTTGTTTTAACATGTTTTTTCGTCCTACGTAAGTTTTATATTAGTGCCCCCACATCTATTTTCGTTGGTGGGTGATTTAAACTTATGACCTATTTGTAAAACCTAACATTTTTTTCAGTAATGATTAACACCTATCTGTTAAGATTAATTATCGATGTTTGCATAAAATTGTATTTGTGAATAAAGTTAAATACATCATTTGTAATTGTAAATACTATGCTATGTTTGATTTTACTTCAATGTGATCAAGGTTTTGGAGTGTGGAAACGACAATGTTTGTATAAATATTGTTAAAGAAGGATTTTATAATATTATTTGTTGTTAAAAAACCTGAGGTGATATCCATTTGGTTAAGTTAACACTTGTATATTCATTTATTTATTGGTAATATTTCCTTTAAAGTATGCGGTGGCGTATATAGAAGGTCATAAAAAATCAAACAATATATAAACATTCAATTTATTGTCCATTAAAAAAATTAGCAGTAACACATGTATAAATTACAATGCTTATTATTTGATATTGAAATTTTATTTATAATACTTTTATTGAGATAATTAACAATATCGTTTTAGATGGTTTTCGTTCAACTGTCACGAAATTGGACAGTGGAGGATCAAAAAAATTAGCAGGTAAATAACTAAGTACACTTTTTAAAAAAATCATGGTTGCCATTTAAATAATTAATTAAAAACTAGTTTTAAAATTAGAAAAGCTTGCTAATTTTATTTAATTTTAAATTTTGCATGTTTTATTTTGTGTATACATTTTATTTCTTCTGTATTTTCCCAACATGTTATATATAAATATATATAGTTATCACATATTGAACAAAGATAAGCAAGTTAATCAAAATAACTAATTCAAGTTAAGTCAAGTTTTGGATGAACAATGTTGATGAAATAACAGTTAAAAGTTACCAAACTATAAATTTAACTAGCTATGTTAAATTTTTGTTTTAACTTAACCAGTTTAAAAAATATTTATTTCATCTAAAATAAATTTTTTTTGCTAAAATCTTATAATATTATTTTTTATTGGTCGGTGATGAAAGGAAAGGCTAAAAATCGATTTTCATCATTTAAAACTAATAGGAAGTAAATACAAGTGATAACGACAATTTTTTTATTCGTTTTGGTGTTGGTTGCACTGATCGATATTTATAACTTGTTATTAAAAAAAAAATCAGTTAATATAATTTTATGTTGAAATAAATTAGCTTTTTCAGTTAATTGGTTAAAATAACAGTTGAGCGAAATTCAAAATTTTATAAAAATTGTATGTCTTTACACGCTGTGTATATGGTCTAATTTATTCATCGGATTTTCTTATTATTGTATATAAAATTGTTATTTTAAAAGCTAATTGGACTAGTGATGCTATTATAAATTATAAAAACTAGACAAAAAATTTTATATATGTATATATTGTAATAAAAACTATTTGTACTGTTTATAACATTTATAATTTTTAATTAATTATCATTTAAAAATGTTCTATTACTTTATAAAATTAAAAAAAATTATTAAAATATTTAACGTGATTAACACATTTCTAATATGATAAATAAACATTAACATAAATAAGGAAATTAGTGGAATTAGGGAGCTAGTTTCCTGAAATGGAAAATAAAAGACTTAGCTCGAAAAAATTAATGTAGAATCCAGTTTTTTAACAATTTAATTAAAAAAAATTATTTTAGGATATTCTAAAATAATTACTTTAACTTTATATCTAAGAACAATATGTCTAACATTGTATATTTCATTACATATAACATTTTTGACTACGTTTTAATAACATACCTTCTATTACTATTATTGGATAAGCTTATGGTGAAATATCTGATATTCTTTTATTAGCTAGTTAATTATTTTGCGTATTTTTATTGTAAATATTTTAATGTCACTAATATTAAATAAAGGTACTATTACCAATTAATTTTATTTTTTCAATCTAGTAATGTATTATTATGTTGTACTTTTATTACTCATTTTTTTTTTTTTTTGCTTAAATATTTACGAATTTTGTTATTTTTAATTTTAAACATATTCTTTTGTTTTTCATCTAATGCACGTTTTTTGATGTTCTTCATTGCGCTAGATATGTCATTTGCTGGGAAACAAAACGGTGTAAGCAATGAGGGTCGTAAATCATCTAGTAAGTATTCGCTTTTGTTGCTTGTAGTGATGTTTCATTTGTGTTATATATTGCTTTTATATTAGGCGGTTCTGAATACTCCATGGGTGATGCACGTAGACTTAGTTGGTTACACGAGGCTGGTGTTAGACGTAGTTCAGGTTTGTCTGTAGGTTGTTAAAGCAGTATTCTGCATCCTACTAGTGAAGACAGTTGTTAGAAAATAAGAATAATTTACAGAATTTTATTAAATAAAAAATAAAAAAATAATATCTTAAATTTAAATAATTAAAAAATCTTATAAATATTGTTAACTTTAATTTTCTCAACAATTTTTTTAGGAACTGTTTTTACTAGTAAGTGGAAATAATTCTATTTATTTAAATAGTAGTTATATTTATGTTTTATTTCATTCAGTGGCGGTTATAACTTAATGTAAGCTGTATTGTTTTAACAAGAAGTATAATTAGAAATTTTTTTGGAAAAAACAGTTATAAAATGTCATCAAACACAGACCCACAGGAATTACCCTATTACACATTATTTATAAAAAATCATAACTAAGACTTAACCCTCCAAATTTTATAAAACTCATTAAAAACAAGGAATTTAGTATATAATTTCAATTGCAATACTAAATTTCACTTTGAAATGATACAACGAAGTATAAAAAAAACCAAGTACAGTGGGGTCGTGGCCCAGTTGGGACGTGGCCTAGTTGGGTCAAGTATATCTGACAGTAATTACAAGTTTTATGATTTATGAGTGTAATATACAGGCTCGTAGACATGGGTGGGCCTGGCCCCCCTTAGATTTAATGTAGCCCAGGGCCGGCCCCCCCAAATTTAAAATTCAATTATTTTTACGAATTATCAAAAACGTGCTAGGCCTTATATACATTGAAATTATTATTAATTTGTGATTACTATTGAGTAATACAGTCATTATTATGGCTGTATTTTCATTTTTATATTCATAGAAAACGTTATTTGAAAAAGATAACGTTCTAGACGTAATAATAAATCGAATACCAATTACTCCAAACGTGGTTGTAGGTAAATTTATTTTAACTCTGGTCCAACAAATGATAACAAACTACGAAGTATCTGCATTCATTAGAATCTAGTTGATTACAAAATTCCATAGAGTATACTCTATGAAAAATTTTTTGATAAATCTTATCTTTAATTTGTTTCTTTTTTATAATTTAGTAGTTACAATAGGTAATTTATTTGTTTTTGTTATTTGCGTGCTCTAAATAATAGTAATAAAAATATGATTAAAAAAAGATAGGAATTGTTTTTAATTTTAAATAAAATCAATTTTACATTGTTTATAATTTATATTTTAAAAATTATTTATAACTTATTTGTTATTAGTATTTAGGTATAAATTATTATTTTTTTCTTAATAGCGTAAAAGTTGAAAAATTAAATCAGCTTATGTTCACATCATTATTTTATTAGCGTCGATGCGAAGCTAAGAAGGTATTGGTTTTACTATGATGTGTTTTTTTTGTGTCTGTTACCACTTTTTCTCAGCTCTCACCGAACCGATTTCTTTCAATGATACGTCAAAAGATCACAAATCGTATCTAGTCGAAGACATTACCCTCAAAAATTGAAAAAATTTCCCTCGTTCCCCGTAAATTGGAGAAACCCCCCAAAAAATTACAAATTTAAAAATCGATAATTTTCAAAAAAATTTTTCAATTTTTTTTTTACTTAAAATTGCCATAACTTTTTTATATAGATGCATGATATCGTTACTTTTCATTTGATATATTTTTTTTATAAATCTGACTCTTAACCTGCCCACAGGGGGGTATTTAAAATGACTTTTTTAAAAAAAATTAACTTTTTCCACTTAAATTTTTTTAATTTTCCGGAAAGACTGACACTTTTATATATATCCTATAGAATGGGATACTGTCTAAGGAGGAGTGGAGGGAGCCCCCCACAAGCTTTTTATGGGAAACAAATTATGGAAAATGATACAAGGGCCAAAAATTGTTGGCCCCTCCAATAAACATTTTCTGGTTACGTGCCTGGTAATATATATACTTATAATGTATAAAGGGAAATGTAAAATATAAAATCGAACATTATAACACAAAAATAGCATATGGTAGCCATTTTCACCGTGAAGACAAAATACAATCCGAAAAATTTTTTTTTTCCATAATAAAGTATATTACATAAGCTTTAATTTAAGGTATATATAAAAGTGTCAGTATTTCCGGAGCACTTTCAAAAGTTAATTTTTTGTGAAAAGTTGTCATTTGAATTCCCTCTGTGGGCAATTAAAGGGTCAGATTTATAAAAAAAATATATCAAATGATAGGTAGAGATATCATGCACCTATAAAAAATTTATATATATTGATTTGATTATTTTTGAAAAAGTTATGACAATTCTAATTAAAAATTTTTTTTAAAATGTCAAAAATTAGCGATTTTTAAATTTGGAATTTTTTTTGTAAGTTTCCCCCATTTGCGGGGAATGAGGGAAATTTTTTCAATTTTTGAGGGTAATGTCTTCTAATCTATCTAAGATTTGTGATCTTTTGACGTATTGTTGAAAGAAATCGGTTTGGTGAGAGCTGAAAAAAAATGGTGACGGACACAAATAAAAAAAAATATATATATATATATAAAAAGAAACATATCATAGTAAAATTAATACCTTCTCAGCTTCGCATCGAAGCTGAAAAAATCTAAACATATAAAGTTTATCTAAATTAAAATTTCTCTCTGTTATCAAATTTGTCAAACACCATTTCATCTCGCACGTCGATGTCTCAATGAAATAATAACAATTTTATTCCCATTTGTCTGAATTCAGAAGTCGTATTTCTAAAATATATTTTGAGCCTTTTCAGCGTTGAAAAGCTACGTTCAGCAATAGCGGTGGATACAGGAATTATTGTTAGTATTTTTAGTAACTGATACATGTTTGAGTACAATAAACAATTAAACTCACTTAGTCTATACAAGTTGCAGGCTTTAAATTTTTTTCAATATTTTTTAGTTTGCCAAATCTCATACTGGGCTTCTATAGTGTCATTTAGACTTGGTAAATAATTTTCATAAGACTCAACATTTTTTATTCCGTGAATAGAGGAGTATTGGAAATCCCGCTTAAAGAAACTCTCTATGAAAAATTTGAAAATAACAATTTTTAAAACGACTATTTTGATCTCTTTCAATTTACTTACTATAGGTAGATTTAAAAAAAATCCTGTCAATCATTTCAGCGGGGGTCTGAAGCCACTTGTCACCCCTATGAATTAGTTTTAATCTATTGTTTAAGTTTCCTAGTGTAAGTATATTAATAAAAGTAAAAGCAAAAATTCCATAGTTTATGGTCATTTAACATTAACCCATGTAGTCACCACTGAATTTATTTAAATAAGACGTTTAAAATTAAATCTAATTAAAAATGTTTCAGGAAACAGTGTTATTTTAACTGAAGACACGGATAATTTTATTATAGGAGATCGAGTTTGGGTAGGTGGTACCAAACCTGGTAATATTGCTTATATAGGAGAAACAAACTTTGGAACTGGTGATTGGGCTGGAGTAGTACTCGATGAACCAATTGGTATGAAATAAGTAATAATAATTAATATCGCATTGTTTTAAACTAATTTATAACTGTCAGGTAAAAACGATGGATCAGTAGGTGGCACAAAATATTTCCAGTGTCCACCTAAAAGAGGCATATTCTGTCGTTTGACTTATCTTACAATAGCTCCTCTGGGATCTGCTGAAGATTCAATGGTTCAAAATTCATTTATCAGCAGTAAACCTTTAGGATTTTCAACGCCTATGCCAAAAAGACAGAGTTCAACTGTTTCGAACTCATCAGTTGCGCCTAAAACTGTTACAAAAAGTAAAAAGAGTATAATGAATAATGTATTTATAGCATTGTAAATAAAATCTCGAATTCTAGATGTTGGTCAAACACCTACATCAAAAAGTAGCAGTGAATTAAAAATTGGTGATCGAGTTATAATCAGTAGTGGTCAAGGTTCTAAATTAGGAGTTTTACGTTATCGAGGTTTTACTCAATTTGCTCCAGGTGAATGGTGTGGTATTGAATTGGATGATCCCTTAGGGAAAAACAATGGAAGCGTTGATGGAATTAAGTAATTTTATCATTTTTAACAAACTATATGAATATGATTAAATTTTATTAATATAAATTTAAAATGAGGGTATTTTATCATAAATATTTGGTTTTATTCCCAATACATTCAGATATTTTGAATGTGAAGATAAATTTGGTTTATTTACTCCTATTGCAAAAGTATCAAAATCACCAATGTCAGCTAATCGAATGGCAGCTAACTGTGCCGTCCATAAAACAAAACGTTCTCCTGGATCTATGAGCGGATCAATGATAAGTGGTATTACTACAACAACAATGTCATCGATACCAACTCGGGTAAGGCTTGGAGTTGCTTCTTTACGCTACAAGGTATTTGCATGAAAATAGCTTATACATTAACATATCATAAAACACTAAGGTACTTAAGTTATTATTTGCTTAATTATTTCAGAAATATATTGGAGTAATATAAACAGATGGGATTATTATTGCTCCAATGCTAGTTCACCTGTACATTATTAATTTTAATTAACTTCAACGAGTTGAGGCTTACTAAATAAAAATTTACTATGAATAATACAAATTCAAAATATTTGCACAGGTTGCATGTTTAATATTTCATAATTGCTAAGTAAACGTGTAGAACTATTTTAGCTGTACTTAGATAATTTAAGCTAATTTTAATTAGCGTAAATATCGATTATTTAAAATCTAATTGTTTAAAAACTAATTATGAATTCTAACAAATATATTTAAACAATGCACAAAATAAAACTGATGACGTTTTAACATCATATCTAAACTAGTAATTGAATAAAATAATGTGTTTAATAAAGTTGTGTGTGAAGATAGTTAATAAAAAACTATTATTACAATTATTAAGAATTTTCCGCTCTATGTTGGTGTTGTATTAAAACTTCCTCATGATTCTAAATATTAAATGGCTAATTATAATATGGCACACAAACACGGTATAGGAAATAATTATTAACTATTTAGTATTAAAATTAATAATAGGAAATATTGAATAGTAACTATTGTACTATAGTTTATATTTATAGTCTATTCAAAATGTTATTTAAACTATTCGGCGGATCTATTTGATATAACTGAAAAGTTATCTTTGATAATCAAAAAGATGTCTTATTTTTATTTAATTTTAGACCCATTTTTGTAATTTTTTAAGTTTTACCAAGAAGTCACAAAATTTAAATAAATAATATGGTAATTTTTAAATTTCTATTTGTATAGTTATTTATTTTAAGAAAGGTAAAATATTCATTAAAATTTATTTTTTTCTTATTATAAAGTGAACTTAATGAAATTCTTCGTTAGAACTTTTCAAATAATCTATTATAACACACTTCGGTAGAACTATTTGATAGTCTATTCAAATATTTTTTATAACTATTCAATAGTTATAAAATATTTTGATAGTTTATGCTAAAAATGAACTATTTGATTGTAAAAAAAATATTCGAAAATGCTTATCACTATAATAATACATTTTGACAATAGTAAGTGAATTTTGACTTAATAATTATTTTTCTTTTACGACTATATAAGTAATTTTAATCTCTAATATACGTATGTGATATTTATTTTCATGTTATATAATTTGTAGTCTGAAGTGAGAATGGTGAAAATATATCATCCACAGTGGGAGACAGGTTATTATTAAAGGAACTATGCAATTCCATATCCATCTGTTTATGGATTTTATTTAAACAACTTCAATGGATTATCAGTTCTCAAAATAATATTTAAATTGAAAAAAATTCTATTCATTGTTTAAATTTAACTTAAAATATTAACAAAATCACTCGATTTTATCTTCTTTCATAATCCTAATTTATTGTTCCACACATTTTTTTTAACTTTTATCTAATTTAAATTTTGTTAATAGATTGTTATGTTTTATGTTATTTGTTGTGCCAATTTTTATTTTGTAATGTTTTTGTTTAATGTCCAGTCCATAAACTGTTAGTTATTAATTTGTTTTCGTTTGTAATATCTTAACAGTATTAATTTATTAAGTTTTATATTATATGTTTGCTTTAATGTTATTCAATATTAAATATTTTATAAGTATTTGATTTCTATCGGGGAAGTTATGATATGACCGTTTTAATGTGTTATGGGTGTATATTTTTTAAACCAAAAAATAGTTAATGGTGATCTATAAAGCAAAACTAATAGAAGCTTAAGTGGAAAAAAAATTGAAGTCTTTAAAACATTTTTATGTTATAAAACAAAGTAATAATTTAATGTTTTTTCCATAGCTATTTTGTTTAGTAATTATTGGATCAAAAGTATTTTATATTGATTGTAGAATATAATAAAAACTATTATTATGGTTGATCTAACATTAATTTTAGTGTTACTCAAAGAATTTTATTGAGACGAGAAAAATATAATGATATCAAAAAAATTGCAGTGAGTTATTAATGAATATTAATAATTAATAAAAAAGTTTAAAAGTCATTATAATCTTAACAATCCAATTTTTTTTATTGAATAAAAATTATTTAATTTATATACATATATGTGTCAAAAGCAACTGCAGATTTTAAATTCTCTATTACGTTATTAAAAATAATACATCTACAACACTTCCGATTTATGCGTGACAAATAATATCAGCGATATTTTACTACCAGTATAAATAACTGTTTAGTAAGTTCATAAATAAAGTGAAAAAAAATAAATCAGTTAAAACGTGCAGAACCAAAATTTATAATGGTAACACATAAAAATAATAAAAAATGTAATGCGCTGTAAATATTAAAGATCTTTTTGATACTATAAACAACGCCTATGAAATTAATTTTTTATAGTTTTCTATTATGTACATGCAATATGCTCTGAAAAATATGTGCATATTATAAGTTTCTTTTGTAAAAAGTTACGTTAAAATCTAGGAAAGTCGTCCCAAAACTGTGAAATCTATGAATTTTATTTCTTATTTAGTGATATTTATGTATTTAAGATAATATAAGTGAATAATCATATTAGAAATATTATTAGTTGGAAGTAGCACACTCTTTGTAGCAACACTACTGTAATGCATTATTTTTATTTGTAGTTATATCTGGAACGAACTACTTTTATTGGAATTAGTGCCAATGTTTGTAATTTTTCAATAGTGAAAATACTTTACTACTCGCTTCTAAAAATCATAATTATTTGTATTTTATTTACTATTCATTGTTCAGCTATTTTTATAAACCACAATCACAAATTACCACTATATTAATCATTAATATTATGTTAATTAAACGTAATAAAAAATTATAGATTAAATTTGAATGATAAATGAAAACATAATAATTATGTTTTTTATAAACATAACGTTAACATTAAAAAAGATAAAGTTGACACAACTATAAGACAAGAAGAATCAACATAAAAAATTTCTTAGTAGATAGAAATAAATTTGTTAGTGGCAGTGATCCAATAGCGCTTGCTAAGCGCGCTGATGTTCACCTGACCATGCGAGAACTTTAACAATGACGCACACCTTGCCGAATATTGGTTTTTTCAGCCATAATAAAGTTGCGTCAAGTTGGCAGCCGGCGTAAAATTCTCTAAATAGTTGGAATAAGCCTAAGGAGATGATGATAGAAATAAATTTGTAGGCACAATTAAAACTAAATTTATTTTAATATTATTCACTGACCCGCTGTGTTGTTAAAAGTCAAAATATGAGGTTAGATAATTAAGGAGAAATTCTTTCTTAAATATGTATTATTTTTTGTTTATTTCATACTAGAAAAATAACACGAGAGGCCACAACATAGTGACCTATATTACCGAATGTTTAGTAATTCTGATCTAAAAGTATGAAGTGATATTTGGATACAAAAAACACACAAAAAAAGAAAAGAGTTCTAATAATAATTAAATTATTGCTATACTATTTATTTCACTAAAATTTATTTTATCTATACAACCCATTAATTTTTTTTTTAATTTACATTAATTTCTAACATCTACCATAAACAAAAATTGTTTTTTGAATTATAAACAGAATAATAAACACACAATTTTAATTTTGTGAAAATAAAAAGGTATAATATAGAGAAACTGTGCTTTTAGAATATTTATAAATATAAATGCTAGCAACTCATAGATTTACTAAAACTAGAACTAGAATTTTAAAAATATATTTGACCTACAGCTTTAAATTAGACATGTTTTTGAAGAGACCTAAGTTTTTAGGGTGCATTTTAAAAAAGCTTTAATAAAAAAACAGCTATTATTCACATCTTTTCTTTCTAATTTTTTTTTAAGATCATAGTTTTTTGATATATGATATTATATATTTTTTTTCTCAAGACATTATTTTTAGTAGTTTTAATACATTATTCAAAAAATGTAGATCAATAATTAAATAGTTTGAGGTAATCAATTTGGAAAGCGTAGTATATTATCATTATCGTAAAATCATAAAAATTTCAAAACTTTTATTCATAAATTCTTTTGTTTTGATCGTATATTTTGAATTTTGAACATAATGTGACGTTGTTAATTCTCTATATTTCTAAATCTAGCCTTTTCATACTACTTAATGAATATCATATAATCACATATATAATAAAAGAAGTTTTATACATTTTTTATTGAAATTTGAAATATGAAAACTTAAAAAATTTATATAAATGGATTTAATGTTCAGTATTTTGTATAATTAGTCTTTTCCTATGCCTTAATTATGCATTAAGCTTAAAGTTATAGATTTATATAAAATTTTATTTAATTTCGAACCAACTATATAAGGTTCATCATTTTATTTAAAAAAACTATTCTGCTGTAGCGTAGTTAAGGTTAAAATATAAGACTATTCATTAATTGTGCATTTTATCGCTTCATAATATAGTATAAATAATACAAATTTAATATTTTAATACACAATTACTATCTAATTTGCATGATTAGTATTATTTAATTTGTTATATTCATAATATACAAGTTATTTAATAAGTAAATAAATACTTATAATTTATCATCTAATATCTTATATTTGTTTTCATTTGTGTTTAGCAAACAAAATTGTCAGAAATGGATAAATTAAAAACTCAGTTAACCCAAATGAAAAATGAGAATGATCAACTGCGAACACAAGTTACAAAAGCTGCAAATCAAGCTGACACAGCTGAAAAAAAACTTGAAGAAACCCTAAAAGTACATAATTTTCTTAAAAATATTTTTTTCGGGATTAAACAATTGATTTAAAATTTTTAGACTCTAACAGGGAGAATTCAAGATCATAGTATGGCCACTGCACAAGATCAGTTAATTTCTTTAATGAAGCAAATAGATGAAGAAAAAGAAAAATATCAAAATTTATTGTTCACAAATGAAGAGAAAAATGTTGCTAATATAGAACTACAAAATAAAAATAGCGAATTATTAATAAAAATTAAAGAGTTAGAAGTTGACTTAGATAAAGAGAGAAATTTAGCAAAAGATGTAGAAATTGAAACTATGAAAATTTTTGAAAAAGAAGAAGAACTTTGTAGAGTAAAAGAAGAATTGGAATCTCTGAAAAACGTTATAAGTAATAACAAAGACGAGTTACAAAAATCAGTGTCTAATTTAAGTTCCGAGGTCAATGACAAAGACATTTTATTAAATACACTTCGCCAACAACTTAATGAGTGTACTCAAACTAATGAACGTTTGTTAAAGGAAGTAAATGAAAAATTAGAAACAACTACTGAACATTTAAACAAAATTATAGAAGAAAAAAATAAAAAAATTGAACAAAGTCAAGAAATGATCGATCAGTTAAATGAAGGAATTAAATCATTGAATATATTAAAAAATGAAGAACATGATGAAATTATTGTTGGTTTAAAAAATGAAATTATCAAGTTGAAGAATGATAATAAAGTTATGATAGAATTAAAAGATGAAAATATGAAAGTTCAACTCGAGATTTATGAAAAAAAACTTCAAGAGTTAAATAATGAACTTTTAATTTTAACCAAAACTAAAACTCAAGAAATTAGCGAACTGCAAAATAAAGTTAGTGACTTGATGTCCTCACAATCTAAAGATAAAGAGCTGATTAATAAATTAAAAGTACAAGTAAATGCGACAATTGATGACTTAAAGAAACAAAAAAATGATAATATTGATTTTTACAAAAAACTGCTAAAAGATTCTCATGAAAAACAAACTGAAATTGCCTCAGAAACCATAGAACAATTACAAAACCTGTTTGATCAATCAATAATGGATAAAAATAAAAAAATCGAATCATGTAATGTAACTTTATTATATGTAAAAGAACAAATTATTAAATCTAAAACTAAAATTGAAGCATATTATGAAGCTAAATACAAAGAAATAGAGGAGCAGTTAAATATTTTAATACAAAACAAAAATGAAATTCAGATTAAAAATGAACAATTGGATGATATGAATAATAAATTAAGTAATGAATTAAAATTAACTATCAAACATTTAGAAGAAAAATCAAACTTTGTTGTAGAGTTAGAAAAAAAATATAATGATTTAGATTCTCAACAAAGTTTGAACAAAAATGAACTTGAAAAGGAGCTATCCTTTAAAATTAAAAATTTGAATGATGAACTATCAAATTTAAAAAAAGAGAAGGATATTTTTCAAGAAAGTCATGAGAATTATGTTCGTGAAATGTCAAAAACGATACATATTAAAAATGAAGAACTGAAGCAAAATCAAGACAGATTAATAAATCTGGAATTTTCTTTAGATGAGTTAAAATCAGCAAAACAAAATGACTTTGAAGCTCATAAAAACCAAGTTATGCAATTAAAAAATAAAATTGATGATTTAATTATTCAAAACTCCAAGTTGGCTTCAATTGATGATCAAGTAAAAGAATTGACAAATAAACTTGAACAGACATTAATTGAAAAGGAAAAAGAATCTCTGAGTCACATAGAATTAGAAAAAAAATATCTCAATGAAATTTCAAATTATAAGACATCTATTACTAATTTACAAAGTAGTATTCAAACTTTAGAATCCAAATTAACTTTTGATAACACTAAACTAAATGATGAATTAGTTATTAAAAATAAACAACTCGATAGTATCAAATCTGAAAATTTAAAACTGTTAGACACATTAAAAAATTTAGAATACTCAAAAGATTCACTTAAAAAAAAAACCGAATATAGTAATACATTAGAATCAGATATTAAAAAATTAAACGAAATAATTGAACAGAAGAATAAAACTATTGATGATATAAGTATGAAATTAGAAAATATAAAATTAACCAGTGAAAAAGTCGTAACTGAATACAATAACAAAATAAATGAAAAAGATGAAGAAATTAAAAAATTAAATAATATCGAAAATGAACATTTAGAATCCGTAAAAGAAAATTATGAATCCCAAATAAAATTAATTTTGACTGAAAAAGAAAGTGAAAAAAAAAATCTTATTGATAAAATTGTTACTATTCAAAAAGCAAACGAAAATCTTGAAAAGCAGTCAGAGCTGAGCAAATTGCAAAGTATTGAAATGGGAAAATTACAAGATGTATTGAAAGAAAAAGCTAAAACAATTGAAGATTATGAAAGAAAAACAAAAGAGTTTGATTGCTCAATGGCTAAATTGACAACAGATTTAGATATCAAACTGAAAGAACGAGAAGAAGAAACAAAAAAACTATTTTCTCAGGAACTAACTACTGAAAAAGGAATTTTAGAGAAACAAAACAAATATATTATAGAAGAAAAAGAAAAAGAAAATGCAGATCTTAGACAGAAATTAAGTCAGCTTGAATGCATTAAAATTAATCTTGAAGAAAAGGTAGAACAAATTAAAATAAAAGAAATGGAATTAAAAAAATTGAGTGAAGAGAATTTAAATAAAGATAAAATCATCGAAGAAAATATTAAAAATATAGATAAATTAAATGATTTACTGTCTACAACTAAAATAGATTTTGATTCAATGATCAAAGAAAAAGAAAAAATAGTTTATGAAGTTCTTAAAGATAAGGAAAAGATAGAATTAGAAATAGATGAATTAGAAAAAAAAACTAAATTAACTGTTGATGGAAATATCAAAGAAATCTCTGATTTGAGGAAAATTTTAAAAGAATCTTCTGAAAATGAAGTTGATAAGGAATTGATGATTAGGTTAGAGTTAGCTAATGATGATATAGTTAAACAAAGAGAAATTTCAGCTACTTTAGAAAAATCAAATTCCGAAATGAAAAATAAAATTACCCATTATTTAAGTGAAATTAAGAAGTGGGAGGATGAAAAAAGCAATTTACAATGTGAAATGACAAAAGCTCTTCAAGATCAACAGGATAATTACAATAAACAAATTAATGATATTAAAAATGAGTTTGAACTACTTAATAAAGAAAATATTCTGTGTAATAAAGAAATCGAAGACTATAAGATGAAATTTTCATCTTTACAACAAACCGTTGATGAAAATAGTAAAAACTGTGAAAAACAAATAAACATGAAGGTCAATTGGGAAGAGGAGTTAGATAATTTAAAGATGTTACTGTAATTACTTATTTAATTAAATAATTAAAAAAATATTATATTGCGTCGTGGCGTAAGACCGTATTTGAGTAGGGACGAACGTTATCCCCATCTCCGCGGAAAGCTTTACGTTATATCAATTACCTACAGGGAGTTAAAAAAAGTAAGAAAACAGGTCTATTTTTACATACAATTAGAACAACAAAATTCCTTTTCCTTACATATTGAACACCCTACTAATTGGTTAAGATCTAAATCTAGTCCAAATTTCTCTGTTTAACNCTAATTGGTTAAGATCTAATTCTAGTCCAAATTTCTCTGTTTAACAGAAAAAGTGAGTAATTATGGTTTCACTTTTCCCGCATACTTTATTTAATACAATAAAAGTTTTCGGAAAATTTAATTTTTCTAAAATTTTACGTGTTAAGAATAGGAAAAAAAAGTTAAATAAATCTATTATTACACCTTTACCAGTGTTTAAGTAAAAATCATATTTTTCAGCCTCATAGATTATTGATGAAATTAAATTAAATTAAAATAAGTGGCGATCCTAAATACAATTGCTAAGGGTGTGGAGTAAGTTTTGCTAATTGTTAGTGATAAATTTGCCAATTGGATTACCTTAATTAACGTTTGGGGATGGTACATTTCTCCCATACAGTCCCTATAAATTGTCCATGAATAACAAATTAAAGTACATAATTCACTTCTTTTTATTATATAATAATAACGAGAATAATTATATGTAATTTAACTTTTGATTCATTTTCAGCGAAAATGAACGAAAAGATCGTGAACACTTAGAATTTCGAATTCAAGAACTAACTGATGAAAATCATCATCTTAATGAACGTATTGAAACTAGCTTAAAAAATTCTTCTAATATTAATTTTATGTAAGTTTTTACTTTTATCAGTATTTATAATTTTTTTTTCATTAATAAATTTATTTTCAGAAAAGAAAAGCAATCACTTGAAAGAAAATATGAAGAAACATACAGTATGTTAAAAATCAAAGAAAATCAAATAATAGTTTTACAAACTGAGGTAAATTTTTACATACATTATAAATATTTTTTAATTTTATAAATTTGCTTCATATAACAATTTAATTTGGTAAAAATATTTTCGTAATGTGCAATCATTGTTCATTTATTTTAAAAGTTCAATAAAAAAACAAATGACTTGTTTTGAAACGCATTTCAATTCCGTATTTTAGGCATTTTTAGGATAGAGCCAAAAACGTTTAATTTCTCATAATTAATTAAATTTTGTTTTTAAACATAAATTCTTCAGATGAATAAAAATATAAATTAAAATATAATTTATAAAAAATGTTTAAATAATAAAATATATAATTATTAAATTTAATAATCTTATTATATTTATGCATGTTTTTTTATAACTGTGTTAAAAATTCATTGATAAATAATTATTTAAACAAGTTGAAATGTAAATATTATTCTATATGTTAAAAAAAATTATTTTGAAGTAATTACTAACCTAAAACAGGTTTTATGTAAAATCAGAAAATAAATTATATAATAAAAACATAAATTTAGAATAAAAATAATTATTTTCAACACATTTACATATTCACATATTTAATATAATATATTACAATATGATAAATATTTATGTATATTATATTATTTTAAATATAATTGTTTATATTATTTTATTATGTCCTATCAAAAAAAATTTTAATTGTATTGAATTAATTTTAGCTTAATTCGTGGAAATTAAAAGAAGTGGGCATTAAGAATGATCTTTCTCAAGAAAAATCTGGTATTTTTTAATTGTTCAAACTACATTTGTTTTTTTATTATTATTTTATTATATTACAGAAACACACCTTATAGCAGAAAAAAATGAAGAAATAAAAATGCTAAATTCTATTATATTAGGCCTACACAAAAAGTTATCTGCTGTTATGGAAACAGATGTATCTGATTTTGAAATGTAAGTAAAAATTTGTAAGAAATAGATAATAAAATTTTCCAATTACTTAATACAAAAACTCTAGGATAATAATGACAGTCATTGAGACGAGATCTAGGGGATAGATTTGTATATTGAAATACCCTTTTTGACATTTTTATAGAATTTTCATTTTATATTTTGGGAACTTTATATATGGCAAGTTATTGAGCGTAATTAATAGGAAAAATGATTATATTTCAATGTTTGGTAATTAAATTTTAAATCTTTGTTTTTATTTATATGTTGGTAAAATCAATAAGATACTATTATAAAATAAATTATAAATTTTAAATATACTAATAAAAAAATCCATTAAAGTATATCTTCTAGATTATAATAACTTCTTGGTATAATAATACTAGTAGAAAAGCTTTGAGGTATAAGGGCACAACTCCAATGCTGATTTTTATCGTAATGGTTTTTCATTCTTTCCCATGGTAGAATCATTTAACCAACATAAAGTACAAAAAGTTATAAAAAATTATATTTAGAGCAACATAATTTTCTTATCAAATTTTAATATAATTAATTCGAAGTTATATAATATGTTTTCTAAATAGTTTTTAGTTAATTTTTATATAACTTTTGAATATAATTTTTAGTGAAAAAAATCCCAACGGGCTTACCAAAGAAGAGTACCAAAAACTGTATAAGACGGCTAAAAATAATTTCAAGCTAAAAGAATGTGAAAATATGTCATTACGACAAGAGGTATGGTATGCACTGTTTTATTTTTAAATTTATGATGTAACTTTGTGTTATGTAAATATTTTCTTTAAATTGAAATATTTTTTTGTCAGTTTATAGTTTGATTAAAGTTAATTTGTTAGCTAAATGTTTATATGTATATAATAGTTATCAAAAGTGAAAACTGAATATGATCATATAAATGAATATAAATTAAAATATGATAGCCTACTAGAAGACAAAAAAAAANATATAAATGAATATAAATTAAAATACGATAGCCTACTAGAAGACAAAAAAAAACTTCAACAGATAGTTGTAAACTATGAATCATGTCATGATGATAATAATAAAGAAACTGATAAATCAGGTAGATTTAATCAATTTTTTTAAATGAAAATATACAAATAATATGTATGTATAAAAAATATAAGTAACTTAAAAATGTATATATATTTCAGAAACCATAAAAATATTAGAAGAAAAAGATTGGCAAATTAATTTATTAAATAACATTGTAGCTGATCTCCATTCAAAAGTATCAGATAATAAATTTAAAATAGAAGCATTGGAGAAGCAAATTTTAGAATCTGGAAGGTAGATTAATAATTTAGTTTTCATTAAGAATTTGAGTTTCTAAATTTCTAATAGACAGAATATTTAATTTATCTAAAATATAAAATTTTAGTGACCAAAAGAAAAAACCTAAAATTAGAACAACTCGATTGTATTGTGAACATTGTGAAATATTTGATGCACATGATACAGATGATTGCCCTAAAAAACCTGAGTCTCCAAAAGTTTATAGGAAACGAAAAGTAGTTGATGAGAAAACAAATAGAAAAGAAGAACCATTTTGTGTTTGTTGTGACAGTAAGTCAATAAAAATGCTATTAAAATATTTTCTCGTGGTGTGAATAATAGCACACAACATTTCAAAATTTTCACTATCATACATAAAAATAAAACATCAAATTTTAATTTAAAATATTTGTATAGTTTAAGATGCAATATTACATATTGTCTGTTGGCTAGTATAATAACACTACTCAAAATTTTTTATTCAATATCTGATTTTTGCACCAATATAATTAAAGAGTACTAAATTTTGAAGCAGAGAAGTTTCATTAATTTAGGTGTAATAGTTTGCACAGGAAAGTCAAAAAAAATTAAATTGTATAGAATATAAATTTATTTTTCCTATTGTATAAAATTAGTTTTTTATATAATTATATCAATATTCTTGTCAATAAGACTAAGATTTATTTAAGTTTTATCAAATTTACTAAAGAGTAATAAAACTAATTTTCGTTCTAGGAAATTGCTCTTTTTGTGTTAAAAAATCTATACACAGTAAAATAATGAATTAAATATTGTCGCTAAATTATTTTGACCAAAATATAAACTAAGTAATCTTGCATCTTAGGCTACAATATTTTAAAATATTATTAAAAATGTATTCTTTATTTTGACAATTATTTAGCATGAATAGTTAAAAAGTTTTAATAAAATAGAAAATTTTTAATTTAATTTATCTAAATATTATTATTAAATATTACTTATTTAGTGTTTGGGCATACAGCTGATGAGTGTGATAGTTCACTAACATTTTAATTTATCTGGCAATATTCAACTATATAATGGAAATTCTGATCTGAATTATTTGTTTGTATAATATTTTAATCAATTTTAACATGTAGCAGTAACTTATTTTATAAACCAAAAATTAAAACTTGCCTTAAAAAGCTAAATAAGACTGATGTTTTTTTGCATATGTATTATGTATTTATTAAATTATTTGTATAATTTTAAGGCTTGATGTGATATTATTTCTAAGTAATAATTTATGATATATTACATTTATCAATAATTTAATTGTTCTATTTTAAAAATTAGTTATTAAATAAATTGTACACCAAAATATTTGAGTTTTAGTTATATTATATTAATTTTGAATAAAGTTAATTATTTACAAACCTTAATTTCTTATTTTTCTTATTCAATAAAAAAAAAAATAGTTGGCTGTAGCAGTTCAGTGTGTTAAATAAATAAGGAAACAGGGCAATCGTTACAAACAATAAGAACAATAGAAACTCGTTTCCTTACTTACTGAACATTCTATATAATCAAATTTATTTGTATATTAAATAGTCACTATAGTCATAACTTATGTATTAAAATATTATTCTATATATAGAATCTTACTATAGCGAATTTTGCACATTTTAATTAAAGAAAATAGAATATAAGATGACAATTTACATTAAAAGGAACCAAGCCTGAATTAACCTTTTGAGAGCTGATTTTTCATTTTTTGTTAAAATAACTTAAAATTAATATTTTTATAAATGAGTAGCATACAGTGAAATGAATAAAACCTTTAGCTAGCCAAAATTAATAATATTATTATAGTCATCTAAAATTTTGATTATTGAATAGTAAAAAACATTGAAATATAGGTTTCCTAATTTCCTAATTTTGGCTAACAAAATTAGGAAATTAAACTAATTTTCCATAAAAAAAACCATCAATAATTCAATTAGATTTGTTATGAGGCTATGAGTATTTAAAAATAGTATATACAGGACAGAATAGATCTAATTTTTGTAATTTTTGATACAATAATTATCTGGATGTTGTTTGTCTTTTACAATTATTTTATTCTTAGATTACGTTAAAAATATATTTTTACTATAACTATAAATAATAAAAAATTTTTTTCAAATTTAAATTTTAAAATAGTCAGTTTTAGCACTTTTTTACAAATAAGATTAATGGATAATGACACGGTTTTGCGTCGCTCTACGTGTTTCACGGAGCCACCTGACGCTTTCTATCTTTATCAACCGTTACTTTAACCCATCAACGCCTGGCGTCCCCATATGGTGACATTCGTATTGCTATTTTTATCGCGCGTTCTTAGAATAATAATTTAATAGGTAAAAGCCGAGTGTACCCATATGGTGACACTCAATATCTCAGAAATTGTATTTTCAAAAAATTTAAAAATAATTTTTTTTTATTTTTGTGTTGTACATTAATCTGTTTTTAGTAAAAAAAATAGAAAGTTTGAAAAAAAATAATTCTCGGCGTTGATGGGTTAATACTTGAATATGATAGTTTGACTAACTAACAAAGCACGACATACACTACATTACAAAGTCCAGCATGTGCAGCACGTCCGACAACGACCGCCGCAAACATACAATTAAGTATTCTTCTTGACACTTCTACAAAACTTATCGTTCTGTCGGACGCACCAACTCAACAGCCTATATGGTCTCAACAACCACGAATAGCGAAAAGTGTTCTAGTTTCTAAAACTCTTCAGTTTTACTTGTATTTCTTTGTTCGCCTTAAAATTCCAATATTAATTTAAAAATAAACGCCACGAACCTCCAAATATTTTATGTCGGCTATATTATTGTGACGCAAGTCGTGGCAATAGGTAATTTGAGAAAAATCCTTAAACACTTCAAGCAAAAAAGAAACATATCATAGTAAAACTAATACCTTCTCAGCTTAGGATCGAAGCTAAAATTATTAATACAAAAAATTAGTTATTGCCAAGTACTTTTCCATTTTGAGGTTTATAATATTTTCAATAAATAACAATAGGGTTTTTTGATTTTTATGTAATTTTGAAAAAGGGGTTTTTTTTTAAATTAATATTAACATTAATAAATACAATTTATATTACATATTAAAATTGTTCATTATTATAAATTAATTATTTTTTCCTTTGACCTTTTTTAGTAATGTAAGTTTAAAACAGTTCATATTTCTAATAGAACGACTTTAAAACAACATCTTATTTTTTTCAATGGGACAAAAAATATATCATACAAATTTCACATACTATTGTTACACAAGTTGATTTTCTATGGTAAAAATTTCAACTTATGTATTTTATTAAAATTAATAAAAAATTACATTTGAAAGTTCCTCTTTTTAAGTTTGTTATGTTGTAAATTATTACAAAAAGTTTTAAGATTTTTTTGATTGATACTTTATTACTTGGGGCGTGGTGTGGCGCGATGGTCACACTAGTTGTTAACAAAATTCTAGTGTTAAGTCGCGCTTACCGCCGTTAGTGAATGGATGGGTGACCATGCGTGCACTTCTACGGTGGCGAAAAAGCACCATGTTCCCAGAGCAGAAGGCAACGGGAAGCCACTGCACTTAATTTTCAGGATATAAGCTATGACAAGGCTTAGCCTTTAGAAAAGAAGAAGACTTTATTACTTATTAAGTTATAATATAAAAATATAGTTCATAATTGTAAAATTTATAATATATGGAATGTTTAATCTAATTTAGAAGCGATAACAAAAACTTTTTGTCACAATGTATTTCATAAATTTTATAAAATGTATTAACTTTATCTTACTTTAAATGTTTATATTTAATAAACAAATAAACTTATATAAAAATTTCAAATGCCGTTTACTATTAAATTAAAAGCTCAAACATTTTATTAAATTCAAAATATGTGTTCCCATTTCAAAAAACAGAGATGTCACCCTTACAAGCATAAGGGATGAACTAAAAAAGTATTACATTGTTTATAATTCAAGATTAATGTGTAATGTAGTAAATAACTGAGGAAATATTGAATAACGTCGATTTTAGGGTAATATAAAATTTACAACAGTAGTAAGCAATTTTTGAATTCTTAAGCAGTGTAATAATGTCATATAAAAGGAAAATGCAGGGTAAGTAAATTAATAATGGTGGGAAAAAGAATATAAAAGGGAAACATGAAAAGTATATGAGACTGGGCGTTTTGATGAAGAAACGTCGAGTTACAGGTCAGAATGTTTGATACGAGTAACTTTGTATTTTGTACGATTTCATTTATTTTGTGTTACATTTTTATATTAAATTTTGACTTTGTGTTTATTACGTTTCTTAAATAAAATAACTATTTAAAAACTTGCACTTAGCTTAAATATTTTATATCCACCGTGTTGTTAAAATTGTGTGTGCATGTGTGGCAAGAGTCGAGGTTGGACTACTGGTCCTTTAATCGATCTTAATAATTAGTGTGCGTGCTGGCTAGTTTTTGAGCTTAACCTTCCTTTAGTAGGTATGGTGAAAAAGTAGTTGTGCTATGTATTATATACCTATGTAATAGCTTTTATAAGTAATTTTTATTAGTGTCCATTCTGTATTTTCTGTGATTGAAATAACTTCGGGTGCTAACTTCAAAGATATGCTAGACATTAACTCTTCTCATTCCTGCCTAGTCCATGGAAAATTAAGAGGCCTGACAGTGCGGCTATAAAGGGTTTTTGGCTATTGACTTAGAATGTTTATGCATCAAGTCAACTCTTTAAAATTACAAATAAATCATACCCTTAAAAGACATATTTTAAAGCCATGCATACACGTCTATAAATAGTAGCATAGTAAAATGAATTCATTTTACTATGAATAGTAGTACAACTAAAATATTGATGTTTTATCTTTTCTGTGCTAATAATATGATAAGAATGAAAGAATTGATAATAACATGATTTACTTCATATAGTCTGTCATAATACTTCAGATGGATATTCTAAAAAAGTTTTTAAAATAATTGTATTAATTATTTATTAAAATAATGTTAAAAATTCTTACTGAAACAATATTTACAGTTGAAATAAAAATCCATTAAATTTTTGTTTATTACTCTACTGTTTGAGTGGTTAATTAATTTAATTGCCATCTTAAATTTGATTTGAGTTGTGATGGAAGAGAATGAGGAAGATGATTATATGTCTGATACTTTTCTGAACAATGAGTAAAGTATACTAGAGATTGATATTTTAAGAACTATGATAATATAAATATTTATAAAAACTTTCATTATGTACTTAAACATTTTTTATTGGTAACTACATAAATTTCTGATTTTTTTTTTTTTTTAATTAATTTTATACATTTATTATTTGAACAGTTTTATTATATTTTTATAGTTTATTTTTCTTGTTTATGTATATTTTTTAACAATTTTATATTAATGCTCCTTTTTTAAAGTATCCTATTGATGGAGTCATCTAAAACTTATGTAGTTACCATTATAATTTTAAATATTTAATTTTGAGTAAAGATTTAAAATTTCTAATAATAATGTAATAAAATGAATACAACGGTTAAACCAAAATGTGAGATAAGTGGTGCTGTATCTTTAGCACTAATTTTAATCATAAGGTTGTTTGAAAACTATATAGGGAATCTTGATAATCCAACAGTATATGGAAACATAGTAATGCGAGAATACTTAATACCAAATTCTGTATTTTGTAGATTGTCACAGAGCTTAATTAGAGTTTAAACTGTATTTGTTAACTATTACTTATTGAATTAATAAATTATTAATTTGTTTACTATTTAATTCCAGTAACAACATCAGACCTGGACTGCTTATGACACATAATCAGCAACGCTTGCACCAACAAATGAAAAAAAAAATTAAAACTGAACTATTAGACAAATCTAAAAGTATCAAAATTTTAGAACAAAAAAATCGACAAGATGGATTAGAAAAAGCTATAGATAGCAGTAATAAAGGTTTTTCATTATTAGAAAAAATGGGATACAAACCAGGTTTAGGCATAGGTAAAAACGGTAAGTATTATTACTAATTTATATTTCAAGTCTTTACCTACAATGTTATTATTATATTTCTAAACATTAGGTAGTGGGAGAATTGATCCTGTTGGAATAGTTTTGAAAAATGATCGTAAAGGTTTAGGAAGAGATGCAGCTATTAAAGAAATTAGAGAAATGAAAAAAGCAATGATTCAAAAACGATTATTGTGTGGCTTGAGTGTAAATGTAACTGAATATAGAGAAAGAAAAGCACAACTATTAACAGAAAAACAAGATCAGTCTGATTTGTATAGATGTCAACGAATATGTCGTCAAATGGATTTAGAGAAGGTATTATATATTGATATTTTTCTTTTTCTATATTAAAAATTTAATTTGTTTAGTATATTTCAATTTAAAATATAAATGTATTATTAAAAAAAGTTTTTTCTATTCTTATACAATGAAATACTTTAATTACGCCTCATGAAATATCTTTGAAAATTTTAGAGCTAATTTTAATATTATTTTAGTTTTTATACAAAGCTGAGAAGTTATTAAATTTATTATGATGCATGTTTTATTTTTAATTTTTTTTTTACTACTTATTCTCAACTCTCACTTGACTTTTAATAAATAATACGTCAAAAGATTTTATTAAATTTTTTAATTTTATTTTTGAAAATTTTGATACATTTTATACAAATCTTATGTAATATACCTAATTCAAAAATATGCTATTTTTGTGTTAAAATTTCTGAGTGAAAGGACTGAAATTTCGAACTGGCTTAACTAATGTAAATAAAATGTACAATAATTGCGCTGGTAACACTAATATCTCTCATGTTTGGGGTATTAGGTTTGTACCCTGTCCATCAAAATGACTTCTTTTTGCTCTTTTTTCTTAATTGTATTTGAATATAATAAAAAAATTAAAATTTGATTTGATTTTTATCTCATTTACATTGAAGAATTCATTTAATTTCAATTTCTTGCTCTATTTGTGTAATCTACTACCAGTCTATAGTATTTCAAATTTTATGGTAACATGTCAGTAACATGTGTATAAATTATTTCTAAAAAAATGAATTTCGGTTTTACCTAAATTTAACAATAGATTTTTAAACTAAAAGCAATTTTTGTAGCTTAATTCAATAGATTTTTGTAACATCTTTTTGATAAGATTTTTTAATTTTAATGCGAAGCTAAGAAGGTATTCTTTTAATGGTGTGGGTTTTTTTATATCTGTCCATAAAAATTCACAGTTCTTATTACTAGACCAATTTTTTTTGATCTAGTTAATCTTATGGATATCAAATATTTAAAAAAAAACCATAATTTTAGTAATTTAGACAAATACCTCAAATAATGCTTGTATAAAAAACGTTATTTGACGTGATTTTTGAATATATGCGTTAAATATAATAGGAGATAGCTTGCGTCCTTGTCTAACTCCCTTATTTATTTTTGCTTCATCTACTTTATCTTGAATTTTTACAACAGCTGCCTCATTTTTATATCATTTATACAGCAGTTTCTTATCTGCGTGCTTTATTCCCATTCTTGTCATCATTTTAAACATTAACGTCCAATTCATATTATCAAATGTTTTTCGATATCCACAAAACCATGAATGTTTATCTTTCCTAATAATTTACTGAATATTTATACAGCTCCACAAAAAAAATCGAATGAAAAGTGCTAGTAAATAGACTATGTTTACATTATGTTTGTGGGGTCACTGAATCCGAATCCGAGGTTTGTTTGACGACCTCACGTCATGGTTTTTCAGAACCTTTGAAAATAAGTTTGAGAACCAAGTTATTCATTAGAAAGTAAGACAGGAAAATTTGTAATCTAAATCTACTGTGTGCAGTGCTTTAACCTGTAAAAAGCCTAACATCATTTTAATGGCCTGACGTTGAGAGTACTTTTGGCATAATATAGTTATATGACCGCACAATATTTAAGTGCTAATACTATACTAGGTGACGGCAATGGTATTAGTATAGAAATTGCCCTGTTGAAATAGTTCAGTAATTACTTGGTTCTTTAGCACATTTTTCGAGGTTATGAAGAACCTTGATATGACGGCGTCAAACAAAACTCAGATTCGAATACAGCGACCCCACAAACATAAAGTAAACATGGTCTGTTTGTTCTCATTTTTCTTTGGTTAAGTCAGGCTAGTCCAAGTATGGTTAGGCTTTTTTACAGGTTAAGACTCTGCGCACAGTAGATTTAGATTACAAATTTTCCTGTCTTACTTCCTAATGAATAACTTGGTTCTTAAGCACATTATTTGAGGTTATAAAAATCCATGACGTGATAGCATCAAACAAACCTCAGATTTGTATTCAGCGACCCCACAAACATAATGTAAACATGGTATGTTTACTAGCACTTTTCATTCGATTTTTTTTGTGGAATTATTCTCAATGCTAAAATTGCTTCTCTCGTTCTCATACTTTTTCCTGAATCCGAATTGGTCCTCCGTCAGCGATTGTTTTATTTTGGATTCAATACGTTGGAATATAATCTTTTTTAGTATTTTAGAGGCATGGGATAGCAGGCTAATTATACGGAATTCTTCACAATTTTTTACTGCTACTTTTTTTGGGATGGGGATAATTATGCTTTTACGTAATTCTCCGGCATTTCGGCAGTTACGTATATATCTCTGATAATTTGAAATAATTTGTTTTTAAGTTTTTCTCTTGGCTTCTTCCAAAGCTCCGCTAGTATTCCATCAATTCCTGCTTTTTTATTCTTCAGATTCTTTAAAGCTTTATCGAACTCCTCCCTTATAATTGGGTCCATTTATCCTTCTTCTTCAGTTTTCTCTTCTTCATTTGTTTCATTTCCTTTAAATGTTTGCCATCATACAGAGTTTCTAAATATTCCTTCAATCTTTTGGCCATATCTTTTTGTTTATATAACATTTCTTCATTGTTATCTTCTATTCCTCCAGATCTAGTCTTATACTTGCCAAAGAATTTTTTACCATTTTATATGCTTCCTGTTTTCATAAGGATTTCTATTTCACTACACCCTTCTTCCAGATATTTTTCTTTTGCTTCCCTTGATTTCCCATAACTAAATTCCTTAGTGACTAGGTTATGGTCGCTATTTATATCTGCTCCTGGGTAACTTCTACTTTCTTTTACTTCGTTTTAATCTGTTCTTTACCATGATGTAGTCTATTTGATACCTATTTCTGTCTCCTGGCATTTTCCACATGTAACTTCTCTTTGATAGTGATAAAAAATAAAATACTAAAATCTTATTTTTATTTGTATTAAGAAAATAAAAACATTTTTAAAATTTATTTTAGAATATTTTTTTAATTTAAATCCAAATGATTTTATAAAAAATAAAAATTAAAAAAATTTTATTTCTATTTATTTTTGCTAGGATATACAAGAACCATTAGAAAAATTTTTATGGCCTGAAGATCCCAATGATAAACAAAATGATGAAATAGTTGAAGAAATAGATATAGAAGATAAAATGTCTGTGTCTGAGCAATTAGAGATAGTTAATGTATACTTAAGAAAAACATATAATTATTGTGTTTATTGTGGAACTGTATACAATAATGATGATGATTTAACTAATGAATGTCCAGGACCAAAACGACAAGACCATTAGGTTAACTGATCTGTTTTATTCAAATAAAGTAATAGTAATAATAAAAATGTGAACAAAGAATATAAATCAATTTGATAATAATTAAAAATAAATAGTATAATAACAATGCATATACATTAATATTGAAGTATTTTTTTTTAGACAATATTTAAATGGTGTATTGTTAAATAATTAAAAATTTTATAATGCTAAAATAGCATTTTTTACTGCAGTTGGATCATCAGATGAAAATAAAGTATTAAAAAGAATTCTACGTTTAGCAACAGTTTCAAATTCTTTTGCTCTACACAGCCCAAGTTTAATTATTTCTGAAGGCATTCCTGCAAGACGTGCTGCATTAAATCCATATGATTTAGGACATGCTCCATTAGCAAACTTATAAAGGAAAGTAATGGTCTCAAGATCTTTGTCAGTATCTGTATCATTTGTTTCATCATTTTCTACCATACATGCCTAGAAAAAACATTAAACTGAATATTGAAGGAAGACTATTTATAAGTATTAATTTTTTAATTACCATATGTCCTAAGGCAACAAGTAGATTTGTTTTGAAATCTTCTACCAATGAATGGTAATGTGTAGAAAAAAGAGTTCGGCATTGTTTTTGTACTAACTCTTTGACAACAGCTGAGGCAATTGCAGTACCATCATAGGTCGAAGTTCCTCTACCTATATAACAATTTTTTTTTATAAAAAAATTTAAGTTTTAAATACAAAATAAATGTATTTTATATAATAATAATAACAATATACCTAATTCATCAACAAGAACTAATGAAAACCGACTAGCATGATGTAGAATAGCAGAAGTTTCACATAATTCTACAAAAAATGTTGATTCACCAGCAATGATATTATCATTAGCACCAATTCTGGTAAAAATTCTATCAACTGGATTAAGTTCAAAACGTTTTGCTGGTACATAACAGCCCTAAATTTTAATTTTTGAAATTATAAAAAAAATATTAAATATAAAAAATTCCCAATTAAATATTACCATATGAGCCATTATTGTGATAATTCCAAGTTGTCTCATTAATGTAGATTTTCCTCCCATATTGGGGCCAGTAACTAAAATTAGACTCGAATTCCACAAATTATTATTTTCTTTACTAATTATTATATCATTTGGAATGAAATTTTCTTCGCTAGTACCACAAGGATAGCGTCCATCAATTAGTTCAACAAATGGCTATAACATAATATAAAATAACTAATAATTAAAAAATCCATAAGTATTCTTATATCAGTAAAATAATTAAATAATATTAATTCATGTTACAAAATTTACTATTAACAATCAGACAGAAGCATATTTAAAATTCATTTTAGAAGGGGCTACTCAATTTTTTAATATGACAGATATTTTAGAACCAATATTTTTGAAAATGTTTACAAAAAACCAAATTGATGACAAAAAATAAAAACTTGAGACATACTTCATAAATATCAACTTCATAAAATATAGTGATAGTTCAGGAGAAGTGATTGCCCTTCTAAATTATACCTCTGTAATGGGATCTTAAAAATTATAATAAGTATCACATGATATTTTAAATTTAAACTAATTACTAGTTATTTTATAATTACACAGAAATAAAAAAGTTTAATGAACTTGAAGAGAGCTAATATATTTTTTAATTCACCTACCTTTTACAAACTTGGAATAAATTAAAAATTAATTGATGTGATATATTTAATACTAACTTTCTTATTAAGTAGAGCTGGATAAAATTTAGGAATACACATGGTTTGCTCTTCGCAGCGACAGTATTCTGCTAATGATATAAAAACATCAAGTGTAGCTAAACATTGAATAGCATTATTCCAATCTTCAAACTTATCACAGAATCTAGTAAAAATACGTTCTCTTAGATTTTTTAACACATCAATTTTTTCTTCTTCGTAACTAATCATTTGATCAAGAAATTTCTACAATTTTGAAATTTTAATGAATAATTAAAAAAAAATTTTAAATAAATTAAATAAACCTTAGTATAATTAGTAGTATATCTTTTAAATCCTTTCCTTTGACTTTGAAGTTCATATTCATCACCAGCTCTTTTTGATGCAACTTCTGGCACTTCTAATTGGTAACGTTTTTTATCAGTTCCAAAATAAACAACCTTTATATTATGAAATTAATAATACAAATAAATAACATATCTGCACTTAAATCTTAATAAAACAAAAACAAAACTTACATTACATCCAAAGTGTTTACATTGTTCTTTTAAATAGCATTTTAAATCAGCTTCTAGGTTGTGAATTTTTTCTAGAACTGCATCATATTGTTCATCCATTCCTGGTTCAGGAAAAATTCTGCCATGTTTCATCGCTTCATTGTGATCAAATGAATTCTTAAAAAAAATTGTTCACAGTTAATTATTTATAAATAAATAAATTTAAAATGAATAACGCTAATTACTAGGTAAATAAATTACATTAATGAGCTAAAAGATTAATTAAAATGCACACTCGTAAACAATGTGATTACAAGTATTGTTGTTTTGATAAAACAATAGTTAAATTTAGACTGTCAACTAGAAATAATTTTCTGAGCATCCCACTAGGAATTTTTAGAAATGTCAACTATTCAACTTATAACTTTAATATTAGTTGCTCAGTTCTTAAATAACATTAAAAACACTTAAATTGTGCCAGATCAACTTGGTCTCAGGTTACAACTTATTTAGTAAAATTTAGTTTAAGGAGGAAAACATGTAAGAGTTTTATAAATAATTAATAACTAATTAATTAAATATTACAAAGAATAGTTCAAATTATATTTGTTAGGGTAAGTCAGTTAAATATTGCCGTTAGCTAATGTTTTTTTTATAAGAAAAGAAATAAAATTATACTTTTTAGAAAAATGTCTAAATATGAATCTCATTTTAGAACACATAGTAGTATTGAATGGAACTTTGATAAGTAATAATTAACATCATAATCAAAAATCAAAAAACTTAGAAGACAAATCAAAGTTATAGAATAATAGTATATTACATAATGATTGTTTATATCTCATTTATTCACAGTGTGAACTTCTATTAAATTTTAAAATGAAGTTACTTCAAAATTATCCAACAATTCTGTCAAATTAGGATATATTCCAGGATGGACACTGGATGGGTGGTTGCAAATTTTTGTCAATAAATTACATTCAGAATCATTACTTTCAATATTTTCACCTGTAAAAAAAGTTCATTTAATTGATATGCTCATTGATAATTGTTAGTTTTATTCAAAAACATTGAAAATAATAATTTATGAAATGAAATATCAAAATTTTATTATTTCATGGTAAATTATTTAATGACCTCATAATTACTCTTAAAATAATATCAATATTAAGAATTTTCAAGTGAAATTTCTTTAAAGAAGGTTAAAAAAAAAAATTATTGCGTATCACTATAGGCCATCATTATCAGCTGTAATATTTGGCTATGACAGATAGATGGTTTTGTTTTATTAGGCATACTGTCAAAATTCTTTAGTTTCAATATATATTCATTGAATAATAAAATGTTGCCTGTATACTTAATAAAACATAAAAATCTGTTTAATGAACGTTTACGTGCATGGAACAATATAATTTTGGCCAAATACATAATAAAATAATAGAAGCCGTTCATTGTAAAAAGGACATTCTGTAGCGGACATACATGATGCCAACTTCGTTAGGCAATAAACCCATTACACAGATTCTATTGTATGATAAACATGTACATTTGATAAATGTCTACATTCAAAAAATGTTTACAATTAATTTTAANATTATTTCTTATAAAAAAATTGTATTAATCCATACACTTTTCAATAAGTTATAGCATAATAAAGGTAAAAATGTAAAACATAAAATCGATAATTTTCACACAAAAATAGCATTCGTTAACTATTTTCCCCATAAAGACAAAATAAAGTTCGACATTTTTTTTTCCATAATAAAGTATATTGAATAAGCTTTAATTTAAGGTATATATAAAAGTGTCAGTATTTCCGAAACACTTTTAAAAGTTAAATTGAAAAATCTTTTGAATCCCCCCTGTGGGCAGCTAAAGAGTCAGATTTATAAAAAAAAATATATCAAATGATAGGTAAAGACATCATGCATCTATAAAAAAAAATTATATTGATTTGGTAATTTTTGAAAAAGTTATGGCAGTTTTAATAAAAAAGAAATTGAAAATTTTTTGAAAATTAACGATTTTTAAATTCGTAATTTATTTGGAGATTTCCCCCATTTACGGGGAACAAGGGAAATTTTTTTTCAATTTCTGAGGGTAATGTCATCGACTAGATACAATTTGTGATCTTTTGACATATCATTGAAAGAAATTGGTTCAGTGAGAGCTGAGAAAAAGTAGCAAGACACAAAAAAATTAAAATGCACATCATAGTAAAACTAACACCTTTTCAGCATCGAATCGTAACTAAAAAATGCACAATTGCATACATACATTTAATTAATTCAATTAATGAATTTCAAACAATTATTTTTAATTATGTGTCCAAGTCATTAAGAAAAACTAACGAGTTCAAAGCTCATTTAAATTTTAATTCATTTTTATTCAGTAAATTAATTAAATAGTTTAAACTAAACACACTATTAAAATGTTTTTCAAAAATCAATATTTACTTTGCAAAATTTTCATTATTTTCATGCTTGTTCTAAATCCTTTCAATATTGAAATAAAATCAATAATTTTTCTTTTAGAATATATTTTTTCTTCAAAGTATATAGCTCTAGTTTCAGCATGGTCAGATTCAACACCATTACAGCTCTGAGAATAAATTCTATATGATTAAAAAGTAATTTAATCATTAGTTATTTTGCTATTGGTATTACAGTAAATCAGTGTATACTTAATGAAATACTAACCTTGAAAATAATCGTTCTAAATCTGGCAAAGTTGATAATTCACTACGAATTTCCCGAACTAAATCTGGAATGATCATTAATGATGATATGGCATTTTGTCTAGCTTTAATATTAGAAATATCTGTTAAAGGATTACATAACCACTGATACAGTAATCTAGAAATAATATTTTAGAATATTAAAATCATTATAAGTGAAATTTTATATAATTAAAAAATCAGTCCAGTTAAATTTATGGACAGACACAAAAATATAAGCACATAGTAAAATTATGAGGTCTCTATGGTCTTTTTTGTAAGATATATTAAAATAAAGAATCGCTTTGTTGTATATTTTTAATAAGAATATTTAAATTGAAATTGAAAAAAAGTGTGCACAAAAGCAATTCATATTGAATTTTTTTCAAAGAGAGGGGATGTGTGTGACTCAGGAAAATGTACAAAATTTAAAAAAAAATCTTTTTTAAAAAATTATATAGGTTTTAAGTCAATTAATATTTTTGAATAAAAAATTAGGGAGGATTGGTCCCATAACATTCTTTCATAATACTAATACACTAAATATTTAAATTTTATATTACCTTTTTCCAAATGGAGTAGAACAATGATTCAATTTATTCAATAATGTCCCAGCACAAGATCCAATAGAGTTTTCTATAATATGTAAATTTTTTAAAGTGATGGCATCTAATATCTAGAAAAGTTAATTGTATTTTAAATATATTTAAAAATAGCTAAACATAAAAACAACACACACACACATATACATATAAATTACCATGTGTTTTATTTTTATATCATCATGATTGTATATATTGATGCATTCTATGTCAACTGGTTTAAAAATTTCAAATCGACCTCTTGTAAGAAGTTGATAATCAAATTTACATTGTTTTAAATACCAAATAACTGCACCTAAACTTTTTATTCCCAAATCACAAGCATCATTAGCATTCAACTGAAAATCAGAATCTAAAAAAAATTCAATGCATATACAATGTAAACAAGGGAAAAATATTATGTTTATAAAGTTAGACAGTATGTGAGTAGTAAAATAGCACTAATCTAAAAAACTAACATGAAGGAAAAAAAAGTTTTGAATGGATCTTTATAATTTAACATTACAATAGATTTTATGGTTGGGTTGGGTTTGGTTGCCACAAATTTAAAATTTTCAAATTCCTCAACATTTTTATGACTTCAGTCAATTTTTTTTCAAATCCCATATATGGCTGAAGGAGTTTAGATATACATTATTTATTTTTTTAATGTTATTTATCAACTATTTAGAATTTGGAAATAGGTGGGTACTGAAGCCAAAAAATACCTCTTATCTACCCCTTCCAAACCCAAAATTGTAAAAACAGATTTTAGGGGGGGGCGTAAACAATCAAACTCTCTCTCACCTTGTCTGAATATATTCTAAGTGGACATTTTGTCAACCTGCAACAACAATGCGGTTTGCCACTTGCGTAATGACTAGCTATAGTAGCAAGGGTCGCCATCACATAGGCGAGATGTCACACCTATCAGATATGATTACCGGACCATGGGTGGAATTTAATTTTAAGTTAATATTTCATTATATGTATAAATGATTATAACACCACAACTATGATAATTGAAGTGTGACTGATATGTAAAATTTACCGTAGCCAGTGTCTAGATTAAGGAACAGGGATAAAATATACACGAGTACTTAAGTTACTCACACAATATAATAAATATTACAATTTAAATTAATAAGGAAATTTAATTTAATTGTTAAAAAAGAAAATTAAGCTAAACATGGACAAAAATACTAATGTATCAAAAACCATGTCTACAAGAAAAGCAACAAAAATAAAATAAAATATTTAAACAAAATCAAATATAACAAACATCACAGATATTCGAACACATCCATTAATGTTTATCGGAAATTAATAAAAAACACCAGGAGCGATCTGGAAACTCACTTCTTAGTGTCTGAAAGAAGAAAAAGAAAACACATGCTCTCCATACATAAATAAAATTAAGTTAATTTATAATAAAATAAAAATATAATATAATTAATAAAATACAGCTCATTACATAAATATATCTATAAAAAAAAGAAAAAGATACCCAGTCTCCGAAGAGACCCATCCAATGGTCTGAATGCTTTGCCAAAACAAAAAACAATTTAAAATCAATAACGGCCAGTCTTTTTGGGAGGGATCTATACCGATAAAAAATTTGAGTTTAATTATATTTATTCTCTATCGCCTTATCTAGTGGTAAACGGCAAAAATAATGAGTTGTTGACACCGCTGTGTCAGAAAAAGGTTCATTCACACATTCTTTTGCACAATAAAAAATAAGTGGACATAACTAAAAACTATAAACAGTCTACTTTCAAATTTGTGACATTACAATATGATAGATTTAATAAATTTATAAAAGTCAAGAACATTTCCATAATTTCCTTAACCTTTTTAAAATCCATAAATTTTTCAGGTTTTCCAGATTTTTTAGATTTGTGGCAACCATGATAAAATATGAAAATTTCTGGCAAGGCTGTAAGTAGAGGTACCAGAAAAACATTAATGATTAAAGTTATAACATAGAACTTCACAAAAGGTGATTAAAAAAGAGTTCATTAAATAGTTAGTGAGTAAGTTTGAAACCCAGAACTACCATTTTAAGATTCCTTAAATAACCTA